TATTATTACCATCGATTGTGTGTGCGCTTCTTCGGAAGCCGGCCGCATTTTAATACGCGAGACAGTTCGGTGACATTATTAATCGGGACAAATAACGTTACTTCGAAGTGTCGTTACTTTGATCGTCGCGGGAACGATGCCGGAAGCAGACGCGAATCGCGATATACGATGTACGCGAATTTTCCCACTTGATGCGAATTATGCCGCAAGTGTATACATGTACGGAGATGAAGCGCAAAATTATCTCAGGCAGCACTCCGCAATTCTCGTTTCACGTCGGAATTCACTACTTGTACAAAAGCAAGCCCCGTATCTAGCAGACGCGAGATGCACTTGTTTGCTAGCTGTCTCAACGGCACTTCGACTCATCCACCGCTGATCTCATTGACTTACAAATTGTTCAATTAAAAACCATCTTTATAAACATCTGCAAAATATGTATTTTTAATAACGCGATTCAACAATTCTTCGTATGCGTACGACACAATCAGTAATTTTTAGAAATTGAGATTACGATAGAAATTGTTGTAAATCACGCATGAAAATAAGATTTCCATTATCATATTTCACGAACATTTTTTAATAAGACCAAATTTTTATAGGTAATTTTTCTCATTCCTTTTTTTAAGTAAGACTTTTTATTTAAACTGATAAAATTTGTTTTTATTGAGTCAACCATACGCAACATAAATACGCTGTGGATCGCAATTTATATATAGAAGCTTATAATTCAACTTTGAAAAAGAGACAAAGGATATTAATTTTTCAATTTTCAAACATAATCTTCTGGAAAATGAAACGGATTGCTTGTTTTGTTTATTTATACTTATATATTTTTATTTAAACGAGGACGTGTCAGAAATCACGTGAATGAATGAATGAATAAATATATAAATAATAAACCAAAATAAAAATAACGATATGCGTAAACTTAGTTTTCGCTTTGTTTGCTTACTCGCTCGTCTATTTACACCTGTATGGATGTATTAAACGTACAGCACATAACTTCCACTGCGATTGCGATAATCCGGACGATGGAACAGTGAACGGTACATTGTCACGCAGGAGCGCATGGCATTGTGTCGTGATCGTTGGGAAACAATGTCGGTGGGAGGCGAGGACCGTGCAGTTTACACTCGAAAGTTTTCGAACTTTGCACAAATTATATCGCGACAGGCCGAATGTGTGAAGATGAAACTCGCGGTCGTTCCCCGCGGTGTTTCGCAATTACAGCAATATCTCACGAAATTTACAACGGAAAATCTCACCGTGTAAACCAGCAAATAATTAATGAGTAGGTATGATTACATCTCTCGCAAGATTATATATGCGCACCGCGAAAGTGTAGTATCTTTCTCGCATATCACGATTTAAGAAGTACCTTTAATTTGTTCGGTTTCATAATATAGTCACGCGGCTATAGCTAATATTGTTCAACGTGAAACGGGATGTAATTTCAAAGTTGGTACACTTTATAAAAATTGAAAGAGAAGAATTTTAGATACCGAATATTTAATTATATATTTATATTTATTTTATTGTAAATCTTTTCTATGTTGTATCAAATACAGATATTCTTTGAAAGTATTATAGAAAAGAAAAAATTTTATATTACATATATATCATATTACAATTTAAAGTGCTATGAACAAAATGATTCAGGTAACAGACTTTTAAGAACACAGAGATTAAGCTATAATTAAATTTCATTGAACGCTGTAATTACATCTACTTACAGGCTGTTATAACTCCATCGAGCGAGATTAGAGCGCGTTATGTGCATGTTCATATGTGCGGAATAATCCTGTCACATCCAGTATTCCTACCTTCGATAGTATTTGTCTATACTAACAACGGTACCATAATTTAATACAGCTATCAATATATTATTATAATGAATTATAAGTGAATAATAATAAAACAGTTTACTATTATAAATAATTTTGTACTCTGTGATAAAGTTCTAAAATTAAATTGAAATTTATACGATAAATGAATCCATTATTTTGCAAATAGCACGATTTATAGAAAGACAATTTTTTAACTAAAGCGGGACTGCTTTAATTCCATTAAAATATGCTTTTTTATATAGCAGCTATGTATTTATATCAACGTTTTTATTGTCATATATTAAATACTTGAAGAAAAATAGTGTGTAACTTAATAATGAAGTTTTCCTACTTGCTACAAATCAGGCCGTTATCGTATCTTAAGTGCGAACACGCCTACGTCTTCGTTATTGTCTCCTGCAGCGCCTCGCAATTGTTTTCTCGCAAAATTTACGGCAATGCCTCGAATTATTCCGGTAAACTTTGATATTAAAACACCGAAAACATGTTGTTTACGTATACAAAGTATTCTATTAAGAGCTGTATAAAAGATTTTGATAGATTTGCAAGATTATTTTGAATAAAATATTATATGCATGAATATACATATATTCTATTCTAAATAATTAAAAATGAATCAAGAAATTCTCCAATTAATCTAAAAAAAATATGTATTGTCCTTATATGTCGGAAAAGAATCAACATATAAAAATTTATTTATTTCTAAATGATACTAAATAAACTGAAAAAGTATAAGGTATAGATTGAGAATAGTTATCGCGCGATTCTCTGTCTCTCGTCTTGGTCGTGTTACGATACTGCTTGCCAGTAGATGAGAATAGATGAAGCGGGAATACGTGGCAAGCAAGGAGAGCAGAAAGAAAAAAGGGGAGAGTAGAGAGAAGAAAAGATCTAGAGAGAAACGAACGGAAGAAATATAAAGGATCCTAGAAGGTACGTGAGACTCAACCAGCGTCTCGGAATACCCAACTGCGGGCTGCAGTGCATCGAATAGCCGTTTGTGTCGAATAGCCCCGCTGCGTTTCAATTTCTTTACATGCATTGTTGTATACATGCACGAGTTGCGACACTGTTCACGTTATTCGGGATATTTCTGTGGCCGGCCGCGGCGGTCTCGCTTGCAACTTTTTTAATTGTCTTACGCTGCACCAAGCGGATTTTCCGATATATATATTTTTTTTTTCGACGTCTGTACACGTTTGCGAATGCGGCTTACAATGAACAACGACTCGAAACGATGTCATTACAGTTCAATGACGAGCATTCATACCGCGAAACACATAGCAAGCAGAAACTATTCTTTATCAGACAATTGCAAAAATTTTCATTGTATATAATATGTCCTTTGAAGTAAATGATTCTAATATAATATAATATAATTTTTTGTATAAGCATGTATTGCTAAATCTATCTTTGAAGTTACTTTATCATCTCATTAATAACAAAATATTTTATATAATAATATATTTTCCTATCAGATAAATATTATAAGATTAATTAATTAATTCTCAATTATTAATTTATAAAGAATTATTTCTAAGAGTAATCCTGAAATAGATTTTAAACTCTTTTGACGATTAAATATGCAACATTTTATTTATTTCGATTCTATAAAAAGAGAAATTAGACGGTAGACAAAATGAAGGAATCTAAAACAACACGCAGATTTTTCGCTTGTCCTACTCGCTTTCCAATCGTCTATTGAGTCAGTTTATTGTACCACAAATTCGCTCTAGATACGAACGTTCGTAAAATCTGTAGGTCGCGAACAAACTCAATCACGGTTCCGCAATACGGTGAGAGACAAGTACGAACGACGAATACGAGATTTCAACCTTTTTGTATCGATACGACGACGTTAATAATTCTATTACTCTGTTGCTATTACTCTATCTCCTGTAGGTCGAAAACAATCGTACTTGCCGAATCGTTATGTAACTTGGATTTATTTACAGAATTGAGTAAGAACGGAGCGCATCGCTGTAATATTTCGACATTTGTCACGGACATAGATGATATCCAAAATATATATAGTGCACAACGAGTATGGTAAACATAAATTGATACATCAATCAAAGAGAGAGATATATTATTACATTTGCGGTAAATCACAATATCGATATTTTCACTCTGAATGAAGAATTTGTTGTATACACTAAAATCAATATTGAACATGCATGAAAATAATATTAAACAAGAGATATATATTGTACCTGTGGCAACAACAAATGAAGAGAGTGTCAATCTCGGATACTGTGGTCCTGTGAGTAATTAGAGCGTGACTGCGCTCATTATATCACAAATCTGATTAGCTTGTTACATTGTTAATTTTATTATTAAATGTTTGTATCTTTAAAGGAGCGTTGAAATTAACAAGTATCTATTCTTATAAATTGACTTTTGCAAATACATGTATATTTGATTAACACTAAATTTTTCATTACGTAGCTCACACGTAACAATTATAAGAAATATCAATGGAAAGTATTAAAATTGCTAATCAATCGTCGTAATCATCGCATAGCCATTTGATAAAGCATATAGGTCACGCTCATAATTGATTCGATATAATTATTTTATTATCACGTCGACTGTCGTTTCAGCAAACGGTTGAAAGTCTGGCTGATACAGCCAGACAAATTATATTGTATTTCGATTATCCATTAACATACAGCTAAAAAGATACGCGGTACAATTACGATTTGAATTAGTTATTAAATTGCACATATCTTGAAACTATATTATTGTAGAGTGGTACTACGCGACTTTCCACTTACATTATACAGATACACATAATGCATATCCACGGATGCATAAATGTAAATGAATATTTCAATAGAAAGCTATGTTGCATAAGAAAAATCAATTTCCTGATAGGAAGTTTCGAGCCGCTCCTCGCGTCTCACGTTTCCGGGAAATAGCGTGACTGACATTAAATCCCCTTTTTTCACAGTTGCGATACTCTTCATGTCCAGAGTGATTCACTTATCTTGACGACCTCAAATTACATTTGAACTACCTCTTGTATGAAAAAAGTGAAAAAACGTTTTGTGTTTTAATAAAAAAGTTGCATGCTCTTTTATACATTTTATATCCGTATAATATCTATGCAAAAAGGTTTTAATTCTGAATTTCTTGTTTGTGTTTTAGGATGGGGCGTACATAAAGAAAGACGATACGGATGGTTTGGGACTTTGTCCTTACGATCCACGACACAACAGCACAGCAGTTTTCGCCGGTAAGTTTCTTCTTTTACAATAATTAGAATAATATGTTCAATTGTATAAGCTATGCGAAATCAACTAAATCGATGAGCTCGAAAACCACATGAATTAATATTTTTTCAAACTTTGGAGAATTTTATTTTCTTCAAACAAACTCCAAAAAATAAAATTCTGACTGTAAGTTGTAACATACAGAAGTTTAGTCCCTAAAATATCGTTTCTTTCGGAGGAATTTAAGTGATATTCCAAGGAATAGACTTTCTCGTGGATGAAAGCAATCTCGGCGCGATCAATGTGATAGTAGTATTATTGAAACATTTTTGCGTGAAGTCCGTGCCACTCTGTGCAGTTTCAAAAACCGTCCGTCCGCGCAAAACATTTATCGAGAACATTTTTATTACATTTTGAAACATATGTTCTACACTACATACCAGATTTGACGGGCGACGCGTGGCTTTGACGATGGTAAGTGCCACTTGAGAGATTCGACCGCTCTACAACGAGTGGAGTAGCTTGTGAGAACGAGGAGCTCGACGCGAATATCACGAGTCCTTGTACATTCTGCACAGAGGCGATTGAGATACACGCATGATTTGCGTGTCCCATCCATAGCGAATGTGATAAATATGCGTGAATCATTATGACAGACAACTCTTTCTCTCTCTCTCTCTCTCTCTCTCTCTCTCTTAAAAATTATTCCCTTTTTTATTATCACGTATGGAGGACTTCAAGTACGGGAAGTACTCAAATACTCATATATGGCGCGATTTCGTACATATGTCTATTTCCATATGTCTGTATATATAGTTTGCAGAATTTATTATTTCTTTACGATCAGTTTTTCTCTATTATTATTATAATTCCAGTATTATTTTATATCGAAGAAAATAATTATATTTTTATTTGAATTTGTTGACAAAGTTATGCTGTGAAGAAAAAGTTTCTTGATTTTTTAAATAATATTTTATATACAATTTTTAACAGTTTTGATTCTCCTCACAATCTTCTTAACCAATGATATGGTTCTAAAAATCTGAACAACTCTTTTAAAAATATATATTATATATCTTGAAGCTGAGGTTCTGTTTATATTCAATAGATTTTTTGCTTGTTTTAAATATCTTTATTTGTTGCTCTTAAAATTTCTTTAGAAACTCTTTATCCTGCAGTAAACTTATTTTTAATGTATTTGCTATTTTTAGCATGAGAGGGGAGATCAGTTCATGAAAACCATGTGCTCTAGTTACGCAGTATGTACACTGCCCCAGTTAAGGGTTAAAGATGAATGGACTTTACACGCGTTAAAGAATCGTTAAAGAAATGAACTGGCTCTGGAATTAGTCAGAGATGTCTCACTGTGAGATTAGTGCGAAATCTGTTACTATTATCTATTGCACCCATTAAAATTTCAACTTTATTATTCTAGAAATATAGATGATTTTAAATAGCAAACAGTAGTGGAAGATGTTTTACACTACGTCACGTCACAGGCCATATATTGTATAACATTTTATTATTTATTACAGATTACTTTTATTATATAAACATAGATTTAACACACTTTACATATATGTCAATATTTTTTACATAAAATTTAATTCAAAATTTATTCAAAAATTTGTCATAATAGTATTATAGTAAAGCTTCATACAAAATTTCTTTATATTTCTATACTATTGTATTAGCATTACACGTATAGGTTTGTATAGTAAGAAAAATATTGATGTACAAAAATGAAAAATACAAATTGTGTTATAATTACTTATATGACACATAAATAATTTAGCTCGCAAATAACAACACAGTTCATCAATATTGAAATATTGATATAATGCTGTTTGAGGATGTAAAAGTCCGATATAATTCGATGTAGAAATGTATCTTGTGCATTTGCTCGAGAAATTTTTTACGTGACGTATAACGTACAGTTTCATACATTGGACGTTATAATTTGCTGATTACGAGGCACGTGCGCGCGTCGTATGTTCGCCAAAGTGCAACGGTAAATCAATACTCTGGCAAAGCAAACGATGCCTTGCTTCAATGAAGTCGTTTTACAAACATGTTTGATATTTCTACGTGTAAATGGCGTGTCCGTCGGGGCGCATGACCCAAACTGTAAGAGATGCTATCTGTACATTTGATCTTTGATAGAATAATGGAGATTACAAAAAGAAACTTAAAACAGGCGGAATGTCCAAAATTTTTTGTATCTTCTCTCATATTGTTTATTTAAGAATTCGGTATAAATATTTCTTTAGAAAAAGTTCCGATTAAAACTAAAAAATAACATTATCAATAAAACACAATAATAAAAAAATTAATGTATACATATTTATCATTTTTTATTCTTGAACACAACAAATATCTTTTCTTGCTAAAAAATCTTGATTTTCCTAGTTTTTTTTCTATCTCAAATCTCTCAAAAGTGATGCAATTAAATGTGATATTTTTATAACATCAATATGATCTTACAATTTGGAATGTGACTGTAATAAAATCAACTGTCATATTTTTCATATTTCCGCTATATAATTCTGGTTTATCAGTAGTGGACGTTTTTTTTTTAACTTATCTTATTATTCTTTATATCTTCAAACATATACTCGACGACTTTGCCACATAGCAACTTTCTAAAAATACGATTGCAATACAAGGAATAAAAGTTGAAATTGATACATTATCGGTATACAGATTCTTGTTTTATTAGTTATATTTAATTATTAATTACGCAATTGTTTTGTAATGTTTAAACTATTTTTTTATTCTTAAATATCACTTTTCGTATTTAATTATGCGTTCGGTATTAATGAGATGAGAATAAATAGATGGAAGGACAATATGAAGTAAAATATAATAGGACGATATAAATTATAAATGATTAAAGCATAAGCGTATACGCACTGTATGCAGTCACTACGCACACATACCATAACTTATTTATTATCCATTATCTCGGATATATTATAATAATAAGATATATAACTAAAACAATAGTGTCAGTTTTTGTTCATTATAAATTATATTAATTATAAATATTGTATATCTTGTATTATATTTTATTTTGAAAAATATGTAAATAGTGTTTCAGATTTTTATATTATAGAATATATTATAGAATATTCTGAAGAAGCTTGAATGAAACTCAGATTTCGCATATGTGAAAGCTTATTTTATTATTATATTTTATCTCTCTTTAATGTAAGTGTGTACCGATTATTTTAAATTGGTGCTATAAATTCATTAAAATTTAAAAAAATGTATTGTGTTGAATTTAAGAAGTGGGACAGTTTGCAAAAACCCAAGTGTACACCTTGGTTTTTTCCCCCCATTATCTACAACATGTAGATGAATTGAGAAACGTTTTTAATGGATTAACATTTTAAAAAGTTGAAAATTTATCGTTTAGAATTTTGTGAGCAGAAAAACTTTTTAAAACATGTGCTTCTCTTTATATTACTTCAAATATAATAAATTAATTTGTTTAATTTTCATACATATGTTAATGCTTGCTAAGAATAACCAATATCACAGATATTTCTTAATATCATTTGCAATCTTGAATCATTTTAATTTGAACATACGAGTGATCTTTTCCGCATTCTTCAATTTTCGCGAATTTAGTTCACTGGCTCTCGAATCTAAAATACGTCTCGTAAAATGGCTCAGGGTTTTCTTCTTAGAAGATATATATTCTCTCGTGGGAAATAGAATGCGTTCTATCATCGTATCCGTTGATTTTGGGATGATCTGACAGAGTCTTGCCGTTTCGAAGGTCTTCTCTGAAAATTTCGTCTCTTAGCTTTACCAATAGCTTCTTTGTACTGACACTGCAATGCGCGTGCTTATATTGCTTCCACTTCGAGCAAGCTACCGTTCTTTCCTGCGCGTCGAGGAATTTCGTCATCTTACGAAATCTTTTTAGAAGCTTTATTTCTAGACGGCGAAACCCCCAACATTTATTTTCGTAAAGCTACATCAGCCTGAACACTGGCTAGTATCCGCAATCAGTGTACGCTTGTACGCTCGCTCGTAGTTTTTATAATTACAGATAACGTTGCGTACTTGAGTATATTTAACTCTTTTTTTCAACTCCATTGTTTTTATTAAAATATTTAATAAATTAAAAGAAAATTATATGTATTGAAAGCACTTCGCTTTCGCTACGATTCGCTCCTCCATTTTCATGCACAGATGTCAGTCAAGAAGATATTTCTGCAAAGAACCAAACGCCTTAGAAAAGGATATATATTCTGATTTTTATCTTGAAATTATTTATGGTTTATTTCATAAATGTTTAAAAATATTGAAAAAGTCTACTTGTACATGTAAATTGGGGAAAGGACAGTTTGGAAAACATGTCAGTTTTGAATTCTTTTTTTTTAGTCGGTTTTTAATTAAAATTGTTATTTTTCAGACAATACTGTATATTAATTGTGTAGCTGTATTTCTCATAGCACAGCTTTTGTTCGAAAAAATGAGAATTCTTCAATCGAAACTCACACGTAAGAGATATCATTATTCAAAACCGCTTAGTGTTCGAAATTCTCTTCATTCCCGTGTTATAATGTATTATGCTTTGTTAGCGGCTCTATTCCGTATTCCGTATTCCGCTTTCAACAGCGACCCGTAGCTATCTGCTGAAACTTTCGTCAAGTTTTCGCGAAGACGACAGCATCGGCGTAATGCGTCGCCGACGCAACGGTGCATTAAATCACCCCTAAGTATAGCGCGTACGCAACCCCAGATCTCGACGGCGCGACGTAGCGCGGCGCGTTACGTGTCCCGCTCGCGGGATACGAGATGCGAGATGCGAGAGATGCGAGAGATGCGAGCAGAGGGATGCAGCGCGGGATTGTTCGGGGGTTGCGCGTACGTATAGCCAAGCCTCTTTCCCGCAGGTATTACGCGCGTGGCGCTCACGATATTCGCGAGTTTCGGCGTTGCCACGGGCTCACCGTAGATTTGTAGCCTGCAACGGGCACGTTCATCCCCCTAAGTCTAACGTCTGCCTCGCCCCCGTTATATATGACCATCCGGCCGCTATATACACTTATCGCGCGCATACGTTGGCCGGCCTCAAATCCCATCGTGCTTTTTGAACGTGAAATATGGGAGCCCCGCGAGGAGCCGCGGCGGGCGAATCCTTCGAGGATCCCCTTTACGGGAACACGGGAGGAAATGCAGTCGCACTGTGGATACCAACGCTGTGTATATACCGACGCATTATGTACTCTATACAAACATACATATAGCGATCAAAATCCATGGATTTTTCCTGGATTTTGCGACCGATTGCACGCGACACTGAGAAAAATTGTTCGCGTACATGATTATTCTCACAAGATGACGAGCTCTTCTTCAAATAAAAATTCTTCGGCAAATTGAAAAATTTATTTCTATGCGCGCGCATACATATGTGTGTTTAAAAATAAAATGTTTAACATCGGAACTTAAGTATTTTGTTTGATCATGCGATAAAGACGCAGCATAAAACAAACTTTATTTTTTAGTCTAACTAAACTATTAAAAATTATGTCTTATATCTCATACACATATAAACATATGTGCTATACTTTTTATTCTATCATTACTGAAATAGAATATTGCTTAATCTAATACTTAGCCGTTACATCAAAGTATTAGGGACAAATTGTTCAACAATTCTATGTTAATTGGATATTAGCAAATGTACACAGTTTTGATTAGCAATTTACTCTCCGGATACATTTATTTACTTATTATCTACAGTATATCCAGTAGGCATAACGATAACGGTATACTAGCAGTTTGGTAGCAGTATATTACAACAGATTGACGTCAATTGCATCCGCATTACTGCTGGCGAGCCTGTGCAGACATAACATGAAAGCATATCGGTGGTAGAAATCGAGCAGATCCACCGAGTGCGGTATGGCAGAGAGATTGACGCCAGAAATCGAGCAGATTTATTGTTGTATAAACATTTAAATAGCATTGATCTATGGCAATCAAACTGCACGCAACAAATTTACTCGATTTCCACTAACAGCTTATTATGATTTTCGGTTAGAAGGTTTTGTTTGAGTTTTGTTGAAATTATTTCCACTGATATTATTTGATATGAAAAATTTGTCATAAAATCTGTTGTTTCCGCTATTTTTGTAGTTTTAAAGATGTACTGTCGATTCCTTGCTGTTTAAGTTTGGAGAGATGGTAAACATCATGTCTCAAAGTTCCTCCTATGGATAACAGCAAGAAGAAATTTATGATTTCGAAAATGACAGCGAGAATAAGAGAGAGTTAAATCCGTACTTTAGGGGAAGAAATGTGTTCGAAAACTATGTAAAGTTATTCCAAGCTGTTCCACATCCGTAGAAAATAAGCTCTTCAACGTGGAATCGGTTTTACAACACCACTTCAAAATTGCATGCGAATATTTCAAACTGCTTTCAAAATGCTTGATCCCCTCGTTTATGCTAATACAAGAGCGCAAGCATGTGTAAAAAATTAATTCTCATTTTTGGATATATGCGGTGCATCCTCATTCGGGAATCGTATTCTTTTTTACTATTTTGAGTTGCGATATGAAAAGTAATATTGAACCTAATAATTATTTTAAATTTTATCTATCTATCAATATTTGTATTTTGATTTTTACAGACATTTTATTTCTTTTGCACAACGTATCATACTTATTTTAACATTTATGTAACCATAGTATGGTAACAGTAAATAAGATATATTTGTGTTATATTTGAACGCAGATGTTTGTAAACTTACGCAATGACTTATCTTACTTGACTGATTTATTAAATGGGATGGTTTATAAAAATGGCAATTATTTATTACATATTGGTTTTATCTTTTACGAATTATAGTCCAATATTATATTTATTATATTAGTTCATTCGTACATTCTATGTACTGTATTTATTCTGACTGATTCTATATGTACGATACTAATGAAAATACATATATGTCTTTGATAAATTTAATTTTAGCGGGTATTTCAAACACCGAGTCTACATTTATATTTGTACATGCTATTAAATTTGAAGTAACGTAATTCAATTTTAATAGAAAAATATTACTGATCTATAAATACGAATTATCATGTAATTCTTATGAAGATTCTCTCTTCAGGTTTCAGTTATACATATATGGAGGGGTTAAGGGGATGCTAAAGCCGTCCAAATTACCGACAATTACATTTCAAAGCTCTCATTTTGAAACGGCTTTATAGATCGCAAAATCCTTTTACAGGAGTAAAGTAGAGGTACTAATGAAGGGTGGGATTGTCAAATAATTAGTAATAATTGAAAAAAATTTTTAAATGTTGTCATCTCATAACCTTATTTTCTGATATAAATAGTTGTATACGTAATATGTACGAAATTAAAGTTTCCCACCCTTCAGAAGACGTGCACAAACAATAACGTACCTTTGAAATTGAGATTGAAAGCCTGGAATAAAAATGAGAGCTTTGAAACGATCGTGTATATTTTTCACAAAAATATTCACGCAGAGCAGCAATTATGTCACAGCAGTAGTTCACGGATCTTGCGAGAGATGGCGAGCAATCGAAAAAAGGACAGATGTCATTTCGTTAGACAAAGACAGATATAGGGAAAACAAAATTAGAAAGGTTGACATTATCGACATCGAGGAAGTTCGCCAGTCACTGTAGGATCCCCTTAAAGCCATAGTGGTGTAAGTCAATTTTTTTGACCACTTTTTTTTCTTCTTTTTTCAACATATCTGCATGTGTAGACTGCATCTATGAACTTAACTCGATAGGTAAAAAAAAGTGACTTACACCACTATGGCTTTAACCCCTCCATATAATGAACAAATCATACAGATGTCATCTTGAATATATTTATAGATCATTAATAATTTCCTTAACAATTCTTTTTCAAAACCTATAACGAACCTACGAAATTTTTAACCCATTTGAAATAGATTTTCTCTTTATCTTACAAAAGTTTAGTCGTTTTCCTAAGACGGTTAAGAAAGAAATAAAGTTTTCTTGTAGGTAAAAAACATTATTAATACCAAACAATGTGGGTTTGGGGCTCAGGTGCGAAAAAATTATTATAAAATTATGTGTATAATTTTATTTTTAATCATTTGACAAATATTTTATGACAAAATCTCCTTTTGCACCAACGTAATATTAATAGAACTAGGGTTTCTAGTACTCTTTGGTGATTATGTATGTCCTAAAATGTATGTTCTTCTCCCGTTTTAACATTAATATTATCACGCTACCTGCCTTTTGCGCTTAAATTCCCTTACGGAACCTTTGTTCGCACGATACTACATCTATTATTTTCTTTTCGAGTTGTAAATGTTATAATAGACAACTTTCAATGAAGAAGCAAATACTTAGTACAGTATAAATAAATTACATGACTATAAAATTAATAAAATATATGCAGATAAAGACAGCTTTTTATTTTAAATTTTACTACGTTTATCTTCATATATTTGATTAAAATGAAAGAAAGAATAGGAATAAAACTTGAAAGTATCAAATCTTTCTTAATAATTATAACTTAAATAATTATAATGACTTTTGCATCCATTTTTATTAAGTATTAAGTACACTGTTTTCGCTGACCATTTTTTATTAAATATCTCCAATTTTTCAATTTACTTATTTTTGTTATTGATCTAATTAAAGAATTAATGTTTATTTATATAAGATGCCCGAAATTAATAACCAAACCGCTTTGAAATGAGTCTTACATTACTATTTTCCACTGAGGAATTACGAAAAAAAAAAAGAATATACCTACATATAGAGAAGCAGAACAGAGATTGATGAAGAATATATCAACATTGTGCAAATTAAAATTAGACAATATTGGCACGGAATTTGTAGAGTATTAAACTTAATTTTTTAATAATCTACGTGGAGCTAACGTATGCAGTTATGCTGAAATTAATATGGAAAAGTCGTGAATTCATGGAATGACTGGCGAAGTTAAGTTCGGTATAATCGCTCGCGAAGACTAAAGATATGACATCGTTTAGGGGCTCCAAGGCCTCCCTTTCGTCCTTCGAGGACTTTGATAGCGGGGAGCGAAAGTTCGGTCATGCCATAGAACGTCACCCCGGTGCGTGCACACACCACGAACCACCCTGCGGATAGTACCGTCGTACGTAAATTCAACGGGCAATTTCCGAGAGACGCGTTAGTAGGAGGATGAATTAACCCTGAGAGCCGCTGTATAACCATCGACCTGATGGCGCTCGTTTAGCTTGCAAATGTGGAAGGTGCGACTGACTGACGGAAACGTTTATGCATGTTTCAGAGGGACAGTTATACGCCGCGACGGTGGCTGACTTCTCCGGTGGCGAGCCGCTAATTCACAGGGAGAAAATTCGCACCGAGCGCTCGGATCTCAATCAGTTGAATGGTAAGCTCTCAGACATCAGAATACGGAGCGTATATTTTTCGCGATAATATTTCACAATTTTATAAATTTATACGGAACGTTCTGCGCAAACAGTCTCTGCGATATTCGATTCTGTAAGATCGTTCAACATTTAATTAATTACAATATGCGCGTTTATACATAGAGATTTTTTTATACTGTTTTTTTACAGTACTTGCTAAATAAATTTATAAAATTAGAGAGTAACTTTGTATACCTTGCAATTTATATTAAAGCAAGAAATTTAATTTTTCTTTACTTTAATAATTACACGATCTTTTTAACTTACACATTTGCTTCTCCTGTTATCTGAAATTTTAATAAACGCAAGTATAATAGAAATATCAAAATGATTAGAATTACGAAATCGTCTTATTTAAGAAGTAAAAAATTGTCTATCACACGATAACGATCCAAACTACCAAACCAACAATTTGATTTTGAAACGCCACTTTATGTAAATATCAGGTGAATTTATTGAAATATGTGAATTTATAATACAGATTATAATATATAATTATAAGGAATTATATTATATAAATTATGTAAATTTATACATTATCACATATAAATTATGTAAATTTATAAGAAATACGAGAAGTAATTATCCGTAACATTTAGGTCAGTCTTAAAACGACACAATTATGTTTTTATTATTGAATAAATAATGTAGTAAAAGAATTGTACTGTAAAATATATACAACATTCTGTAGAATAATTTCGATAATCGAATTCGATGCAATCTTGTTATTTCAGGTCCCAACTTTGTCAGTTCATTCGCGTATCAGGATTATGTATTCTTCTTTTATCGCGAAACAGCCGTGGAATACATGAATTGCGGAAAGGTGAGAGATTATGATTTTTTTTTTTAATTCGATATTTCTCCATTCTTAGCGCATTTGCCTCTGATTCCTTTTTAAGGAAAATTTGTTAAGATTTATAAATAATTTTAATTGTATATCGTACATGCAATGCATGTATATGCATGCGCCTCTTTATTTTTAACTTGTTAGGATTAAACAAATTCTCTACTGTAATTTTTATGTTGAACGCGTTTTAAAGAAAGATCTCTTATGATATAATAAAGGAAATAATATAGATTCGTTCGTAAAGATATAGAAATAGAAAAATATATAATATAAATCGATTGCTTTACAAGTTTGATCCACATTACAGTCGGTCTATTCGCGAGTTGGCAGAGTCTGTCAGCACGATAAGGGCGGGCCACACGCATTTAGCGACAGATGGACGAGTTTCCTGAAAGCGAGACTCAACTGTTCGGTACCAGGAGAGTACCCCTTCTATTTCAACGAAATACGTGAGTATGCATATGCGCGGTCCTTTCGCGGCTTCGATCGTGACTACGCCCGAGTAGTTTCAAATGAGGGCTCTCGCACGCTCCTAAAAGGTCCTCATAAGAGAGCCTCTTCGATTCTGCGCCATGTTAGTTCCTACTTATTGTTAGTACATGTACCGCGCTCGTCTACTTTTGAAGTTTTCCGAGATTTCCGCCCCGATATACTTTCGCGTTCTACGAAATATTGTAAAAAAGAAAATGTAATTTTGAAGACTTTAAAAGTTGCTCTTTTTAAGATATCTGTAGAAAGAGTGACTGGAGTTGGATATTTCATGTTATTCGTTTAAAACATGCTACATCATATATTGCAAATTATATATATTTGTAATTGCATATTAAATATGTATATATAAAATTATCATATATATTTTAATGTATTTTTTATATGTTTTTTTAAATATACATCGATATATCTCATTACCTTGTGTATAAAAATATTAAAATACAGTTACCAAAAAATGAATATTCTGCAAAATATTTTATATTTTTATATCATAATATCTCAGAATATAATATGAAATATCTCATAAACGACATAAACTATTGATTTTTTTATGACTTTATCTCTTAATATGCAGAATAACTTTGCTTTTACATGCAAAATGGGGCTAGAGAGACAGAATAAAATTACGCTAAAAAATATTATCTTTTTCCATTTATAAAAATATTGATGACGTTAATGTCTTATAAAAACACATGTTATATAGAAGATTTATTACATACATCACATTTCTCTCCCGAAAAACTTTTATTTGAAACATTATTTTTAAAGATATTTCATTTTTAATATGTTTGGAAATCTCACTTTTGTTTTATCTTGTCAAATATTAAAAATAGTACATAATGCGGGTATCCGCAAATCTATCCAAAATTAAAGATGCATGCTGTTATGCGCTGTTCTGCGTAAGTTGGCATACATATTTTATTTCTAATATTTATATTTGCGTAGAATGGGAAGAGTGGCAACATTGCTTGCAAATATCGTACATTATTATTATTGCGCTGCAGCAATAGTTGCACTTCTGATATTTACATGCAATGTTTTAACGCGTAAGAGAAGGAACTGTTATATTATTCGCAAATATGAATATTAGAAAGAAACGCATTATTACTACAAAAAGCATAGGAAATTACATTCTTTTGCAATAATAAGCATGTCTATTTAGCAGTATTATAATACAAACATTCGTACGTTCAATATTTTTAAAATGTTTTTTTTTTTTATATTTACATGATATTTTTTGGCACACATATCGATTTTCGGATTTCTCGTCCATTCCACACGTACAACGCAATCGGATAAGTCACTCTAGCTATCTATCGTACAGCGAAATGGACTAATCTCGAGTGTGAAGCACAATAGCCGTGCACTATCGCGTTTAGGACCGGTAGGAATGAATGGAGAATGAATGAGAGGAGTGCTCTATTCTCGTAGAATATTGTCGTCGCGCATATCGAATTGAAATTCCGATGCTGGCTCCGCAAAGTTGGCGTGTCTCCAGATGTCTGAGAGATACCACGAAATCACAGGCTGCTCCCGTGATTGTTCGAACTTTGTATCTAATAGCGGAACTAAGATAAGACTAATGATGGCAGTTGTTTATTAATGTCGCCGCGTAATTAAGCATCGTTTTATAAAATCAAACAAGTTAAAAATGTGTAAAAGGAATTGATAACAGATGGAATTGTTATTAAAATCGAAAATTCATTAACTTGAATCTTTTAATTATCCAATTAACAACATTAATTGACAATTGCAAGAAGAAAATGTTTAGTTTGAGTACGATAATAAAACGGAAAAAGTAAAACGAATAACATGAAATTAAATACCGCGTCGATGAAGCGTCGATATTCAATATATGAGCAATTTTCTCAATCGATATTCGTGAATTTAAGTCCAGTAAATTGCAGATAATACTATCATCAGCTTCAATTGGACGGCCGGAAAATGGTTTGTCTAAAAAAGTAATAGAGTAATGGTCACTTCGACTGGATCTTGCAAATTATTTTGTTGCGCATGTCCTATGTGTATCTTACAAGACCCATTTTTTTCTTACCATTCTATGTAACCTGATGACATATTTTCTCGATCAAGAGATGTTTAAAATGTCTACACTTATCAACGCGAATGTATAAGACGAAAATTATTTCGAATAACTTTTTATCTGTTATTTAGAGTCAACGAGCGATGTTATGGATGGTCGATACGCGGGAAAATCCGCGCGTCTGGTGTACGGGGTTTTCACGACCCCGGTAAACTCCATTGGCGGCTCAGCTATCTGCGCTTTCTCTATGGACGCCATTCTCGAGGTCTTCCAGGGTGCTTTCAAAGAGCAAGAGACGATAAACAGCAACTGGCTGCGAGTACTTCCGGAAAAGGTGCCTGAGCCCAGACCCGGTGCCTGTGTTAACGATTCCAGAACACTTCCGGACATCACTGTCAATTTCGTCAAAGCGCATCCCCTCATGGACGACGCGGTGCAATCCTACTTTTCGTTACCTGTGATAACTAAAACCAGTTTCAAGTGAGTAACCCGATCGATTGATGCAACACGTTTTCATTAATATGTTTTTAACATAACGTATTTATTATCCTACATAATATTTTTACCTAAATACACTTTGACACAATATTTTTTAATTACGGATTTTTTTTCAATTTTGAGTCAATATTCCCTGTCAAAGAAAACAACCATTTATTATAATGTTCCAATTTTTAACATTACATACTTTTTAAAGTTAAATTGAAAAATAAAAATACATTATTATACACTTGGGAAAAAAGCGAGAATTCTTTTCACGTTTATTGAATTTTCTTGAAAGTTATTTTTAAAGCTATTATTTTGATCACGTATTTTTAATACTATTAATGGCTAAATATTTGTAATGTAATATATGCTATTAATATATGAAACGTTTGTAGTTATAGATTTACCAAAGTTGCCGTAGATCCTCAAGTAAAGGCATTGGATGGTAAAGCTTACGATATACTGTATATCGGAACAGGTATAATTATTTATTTATTTATTTATAATAATTTATCGATTATTATATTTATACATAATTACATATTATTATTACATTTAAAATAATGATCAGTCTATTATAACGTTATATATAATAATAATGACATAATTATTATAATAAATAATATATGTTATGTTTGAAATAACAATGATTTATATTTCTGCGAGATTAACGAGATTTACTTGTTGCATATAGATGACGGGCGCGTTTTGAAGGCGCTTAATACGCGTGCACCAGAATCGCGTGACAATGTCGGTCAAGTTATTGTCAGCGATGTTCAAGTGTTAAGATTTGGTAAGTAAATTTACTTTAAATTTTGTGTGTAATCACATTATTTCGCGCGTTTAATTAATTTAAAAAATATTTATAGTTTTTTATTTTTATGTTGCATAACTATATACTGCTAAAGCTACACTGTGTTAAAGTTGTAGTGAGAAATTATATTCAATTTGAATCATTTTTAACCATCTGTCTTTTCGAGACATTTCATATTTAAATCCTTAGGATAGAAGAGAAATATAAAGAGGAAGGGAGAGAAAAAATTTGATGCGCATGGCCAATTTGAATAGATCAATTGCAATGCAAACTATCTGAATTCGTTTGAATTTTCAGCGCGTTTGGTTTCGGTACAATCTTTTCGTACGATGGAATGTAGAGTATAGCTAGTCAAACGGAAGACCGACTTGGGATTGAAAAAGAAATTCGATGCTTTTTTAAAAAGTTTCTAAGAAGCTTTGCGTACTTCTTGTATATATGTTGTATTATTTCCGGCAAAAATTTAAAGAGATGTACTTGTAAATCATATCGATAAATAATACGATATTCTTTTTCGCAAAATATGTATAGCATGTAAAGTCTTTTTACAATTAATAAAGTAATGTTTATTAAATACACGAAATAATACACGATTCTTTGTTGCAGGCCAAGCGGTCAAAGACCTTCTGGTGGTTCATCTAGCTGGCGAAGCGAGCAAGCTGGTGGTGTTCGCGGATTCTGAGATCCGCGCGGTTCCCTTACATCATTGTGACTCCCCTGCTGCGGCTACTTGTAGATCTTGTGTCGCCTTACAAGATCCTCATTGCGCCTGGGACGCGACCGCGAACCTCTGCGTGGCAGTGCTGACGAAACTCCACGACAACGACGCCGATAAGACGCTGTTCCAAGATATCCCAACCGGTAGACACCGAAGCTGCGGACGCGAACCAGGTACTGTCTTTGATGTAGACTATATACGTTATCAAGACGCCCATGGATTGTTTCTGGAAATAAATTACATAATATTATGCGTGGATAATGTATCGCTGTCTAGTCGCTTGTTTAACAATTTTGTGACCTGATTCTCTCTTCCGTTTTAATTTTCTTTTTCTACAACGAATGCAAAAGAAGTTATACATGCTGGTTCGAATGATACAAATTTTCCAAACTTGAAACTCATACTATTTGAATATCTCGAAAGCGATTCACTCGAACCCATTTTTCATTATTGGTTCAAAACAAGCAAGATTGTATTTACGTTTATATGTCACATATGAATTCAACATATGGCTTTTAAAGTTTCGAAATTTTTAAAAAGTTTCCTGTGCAGCTCTTGGACGTACCGTGGTTTATTCAAACTTGTACTTTCAACCGGAATAATCAAGTTTGTTCTCCAGCACTCAGAGTACTCGTTCTGTAAAAGAAAGATCATAAGATTGTAAAATAGGAAATTAAAAATTTAAATAGAAAATTGTAAAAAAATAGGCAATCTTTTTAACGCTCACAAAACTTTTTTAAAAGCTTTATCAAGTATATTTATTTTAATTACAGTTCCTCTACTTTGTTCTCCTCCTTCTCCCCTATATACAAGCTTCAATATATAACTATTTTATTTTAAACGTGAAAAATGGAAGAGAGACAGCTCAGCTAATATAAATAAACCTAATATGTGGTCGTTTTTTTTGTGGACACGCTTTTCTTGTCGAATATGTTACTAAAGAATATATGGGCAATAAATATTAAGGAACAACTTTTTGTAACTCCGAGTAAACATCAAACATCTTCAGACCTGACGTTTCCTGTTTAATTTTACATGAAACTTGATTTGAAAAATGATGAAAAATCGGAAAAATAAAATTAAAAGTTTCATTGGACAACAGCGTTTATTCTGAAAAAAGAACAAAGTATATGTGTACATAATAATAATATATCCAAAATGTATAGCTAAACTTAAACTTAAAAAATTCTTGAAGAAGTATATGTACATTATAATGTTCGTCAGGTCTGAAACAATTAAATATTTTTCACAAATTCAACTATGCTAAGAATACTGCTCGCACGGCTAACACAGCTCACGATCAGCTATTTCATAGTATATTCATGCGTACACTAGGCGTTATTATGTATATTTTCACGGCACTTTCAGCTCGGACGCACCAGATATTCATATTAATGATGCTTAATGCAAGCTATGATTTAGAATTATGTTTGAAGCTGAAATTTAGAAGTTGCAAATATCTCATATATTAGAAGTTAAAAAGCAAAACAACAAACAATTATTAAGCGACAGACAATATTAAATTATAATTCAGAAAAAAATAGATTTTGATTATTTTTCTTTACAGTCATGATACACGAATGTCTAAATGTGATGTCTAAATTCTAAACCAAATGCCGAGTATGAATTAAGGCATATGTATGGTGCCTAATGTACGTTGCAATAAGTATGCAAAATCATTCTGTACGTAATCATCTGTCGTCTATCATCATATTGGTGAATATTACTCCAGAAGTAACGAAGTCCGTCCAGCCAGCGGTGGCGTCCGAAATTGGGCGCGACGAGCAGCCCGATGAACGGGAGAATGAAATCATCATCGAATTGGATCGGGAAAATCAGTACGGCCGTACACAGCCGAGGGCTAATGAGCCTCAAGGTAACCATCTGCGATATTGTCCATCGTCACATCATGCCGATATACATAGTATAGTTACCTTGTTTGAAGTCGAAAATCCTTCTCATAATACCCGCTTAAACTGATTCTTTTCCCATGGTATTTTGTTCTTCAAAGCAGATTTATTTTTATGTTTGCAACTAATCTACTGTCTTGTCCATACACTAACATACAGAATAGCCCGTTATTGATTAACTGAACTTAACTGAGAAACTGATGACTCCATATAAAAATAATAATGTTGAAATATTAATATAGTTTTTCTATTTCTTATATGAAGCTTCGTTTTCAAAAGAAAATCGGATTTGAAAAATGGAACATTTATCAATGTCTTTTCTATTTTAATGCTATATAAATTTTGCGTTATCGATAAATTTGTTCTAATTATTATTCTCTATCCTTCGACACATTACTGATTTATATCAAAATTAGAATACATATGTATATTTTCCAATTCTTTAAAATCAATTCCCTTAAAATCGAAACCTCAAATGAAGAAACCTTATTTTACGTTTTTTATATAGAATCATCACCTTTCTAATTATATCAGAAAGGTGATGATTCTATATAATCTAAGGTACTCGATTTTGCAATAACGAAACATTCTGTCGCGTTTATTGTATTTGGGCGGGTGATGTCTGCAAAAATCGATTGTATCTTTACTGTTTCTCTATTATTATTTATTTTCGCTTCAATTTTTCTTCTCCATTCCAAACACCAGAGACCGAACGCGCGAGCAGTTTTCGCAAGAGATAATTCTAATATTGTTGTCCAACTTGTTGCATTCTGATTACAGGCGTGACCGTAACACCGGTGGTATACTCAGCCCAAACATTGACGGGTGCGCTAATAGGGACCTGTTTCTGTTCTTTGGTGGCCGGTTTCGCCTTCGGTTTCTGGTTCTCTCAGAGATTGCGGGGCTCGTCGTATCCGGAACCCTCCGAACAACGGCAACAACTCAATCGACTAACAGAGAGTACCGAGTCGCCCGGATTCAACAACAAGTCCATCAATCTTGTGCTGAATGTACCGCCCAAGAACCCGAATGGCAAGAACGCGAATTCGTCTGCGGAAAACAAGCCAGTGCAAAAGGTGAAAAAAACGTACATATGATACAGAAGGCGACACAGAGCCGTTTGAGGCTTGCCACAGGACCCCACGGGTTCTGGCGCATCTTCCACCTCCTCTTCCTCCGACCTCGCGGAATCGGACGAGCGCAACAACGAGGACGGCGACGACGACGAGGACGACGACGGGACGACGCCCACAAGCCTCACCACCGGTATCGCCACGGACCACACCAACAACACGCATAAGCTGGACGAAGATCGTTACGAAGATCATTACGAGGATCATTACGAGAGTATCATAAATGACGAGGTCTGCACGCTGGAATACTTGGATGGTTACGATACGCAGCAGCGATCCGCGACGGCCCAGAGATGTACTCAGTACCACCAGTCCGAGTGCGTCGAGACGACGTTGATGAACGCGCCGACCTGCGAACTTGAAGATTCCGGCGGCAGCGACAGCGCGAACAGTCTTGACGATCTCTGTAGGCGTCGTCACGCCGCTGAGGATCTATTCGATCGGCACGGGGCGACGAGCAACACGCGGGACCATTATATGGTGCCCACTCGAAGCCCGCGCGAGCTCAACGACAAAATTCTGTCGCTCTTTAACCCGCAATTCCTGCCAAACTTTAACAACATGGTCACGTACATGGCCGCGCATAGTCCGCCACCGCGATCTCAGTCTCTGGCCCAATACAACAGCGAGGACGACAATTTCCTGCTTAGGGACAGGAACTATCGTAAACGTGACGGCATGAACTCGGTGTGCTTTCGACGAGGACTGACTCACGAAGCACCGCGGGAGTGACACTACTTTCGCATCAGCGGACGAAGCGATTCGCTCTGTTTATGGTCTGATAACGAGCAACATCTAGCAACGTGACTTTGTGCACCTGAGAAACTAGCAGTGCTGAAAGTGAGAAATAACTGTATGTATCTTCTACAACGTTACGAAGGAGAGTTAGAAACTGTCATTGATATGGTACTACGTGCAGCGAAACCCCTTCCCTCTTTTCCCGTAGTTTCACGATGGACACGTAGCTGAAAGTTGCGTCGGAAAATGAGATCGTGATCACATAGCGACACGTAATAATCGACGGCGAATAGTCTTGTGATAAGCCCAGGATCTACTTTTTTATGGTATTTTCAAGCTTTGCCAAGTATTGTCCGTCGCGCGGTTCCACGCTCGCAACTACCGTGGAATCATTTTGTATAGGATTCAATTTAAAGTCTTTTTCTTTATTTGTCTCGATGATAATAATAGAAGAGTCGAATGTAAGGGAAAGCGTATGCCGACAACAACGACGACAAGATTGAACCGTAGTAATGTAATGTGATACCATATGAGAACTGTGTTCGTAGCAGTGGCCTGTTAGGTGCTTAGACTGATGCAAGATAAAACGAAAAACACTGTGTAGAGACATTTAAGCATTCGCGCGAGAGACGAGGCGTGCCTTCCGTGTATTAATTGTTGGCAGATCTTGATCTATAACAGGAATGGAGTGTTAATATGGCCGGTATAGATTCGGGCAAGTGCCTCATTTATGCGTTTTGTTTAAGATATCCAATAGAACGGAGTGAAGTATAGAAAAAGAAAAAGAGAGAGAGAGAGAGAGAGAGAGATCTAAGTAAGACTAATTCGAATATTGTAGTGCACTTATTACCGTGCTGTGAGTACTGGTAATAGCGGGGAATACGGACGAGAGCATGTTTATCAATAACTTAGCTCTCACTGGTATATAGCGGCAAGAGTATATAGTTTCTTCGAGGAATATGCTTGTTAAAAAACCTAATGATAGTGTAAAAATTATTGTTACATGAAGTTGTGACGAAACAAAGTTAGAAGAAAAACGCATATGATTATTTCAATTATATATGTAATCTGCTAGATTATAAATAGCAAGACTTGCAAAATTTTTCTCAGCAGACGACTATGAGGAATTAAATTAAAATACAAATATCTAAAATGTAAATTTTAAATTTACTATTTTATTATATATTTTTTTTATTTTTTATTATATTTTGTTATATTTTTCTTATATTTCTTTTTATATTTTGTTCTTTATTTTTTTTTCCTTATTTACTATTTTTATTATATATTTCCACTCAAAAATCTTAATTCTCAATATTTTACGTTGAGAATATTGCATAGAACATTTATGAAAAAATATCCAAATATTATTTGGAAAAAGTCGCACTGATCTTATCGTATGTACAATTAATTAATTTTTAGTTAATTAGGCGTATTATATATTTTTATTCGTTATAAGTTTAATAATTTAGTCATTTAGATTTTTTTACTTTACGCCGTTAGCATGGCGACGCGGTCCTCGAAGAAACTCTGACGAAAGGAACCGAAGTGCGAGATTATAGATAACGGCGTAAACTGGTTCTGCTGGCGTTACAATAACGATTGCGATGCGATTACACGTGCGCATTTACTTGACAGTTTAATCGCGGACAGAGTGCCTCTAACGATGAGCGTCTTGAGAAGTTTTTAGAATATCAAAAACGGCGGAAAATGCTCTTTCGACACGTGAAATTGTAAGTCAGTCTGTGGATGAGCTTTGATCGCAGCAGCAGTCTCGATCCATCTATATGCCGATAAATTTAATTCTTGCAGTTTGTATTATTAGCTAGGTACAAAAAAGGCATTGATTTGAACAACATTCATTTAACGTTAAAGTTAAGTTTAAGACACCATCTGACACAATCTGAACACTGAATAATACAATCTCGCGCATGTTCGAGAGGTACTTTCCGTCGTTTCACCCGCTACTTTCTCGTCGCTCATAAACCAACACTGCCGCGTAAATTCTAACACGCCTCGAGCGAACAGTACAGTAGACACCTTACCGATTTTCACCGATTGTCATTGAACATTGGACGTTAAAAGATCAGGGTAAAACGAAACGTTGTTCAAGTGCTTTCGCGTTCGACGATAGGGCTCGATGTAGATAGCCGCATGTATGATGGTAACTGCGTGCTGTGTAAGCGAGAAGGGAAGTCGTGTAAATACATAGAACTGTTTTTTATCGTTGAGATCATTTTAAACAAGATCGAGGATTCATTCGTTATGCTACTCGTCACGCGGGCAGCAGTGATATATTGATATTATACATATATTGCATTTTCATTGCTGCGCATACATATATAATGTATATATACGTACAAGATATTAAGAATTTCAACCGGCAAACTTTGAAGGAACATAAAAAACGTTGAAAAGTAAATATTTTTTACTAGTAATATTTTTTTCGGTAAAAAAATATTGTTACTTAAAAAACGTTCTCTTGAGGTTATTTATATTCCGCCAAAGTTTGTAGATCTAATTTTTTAACATCCTATACATATATATATATAGACACTGTGCACATATACATGTGCATTTGCGCAAACATATATTCGTTTTTAATTCGCGTAGACTATACGTACTATAGTCTGGGAGAACGAGATGTGTTAAATAAAAGAGGCAGCTAATTAGATTTATGCGCTGACTTTGTAAAAGTCTGTCTTTCCTTAAATAAATTTTTGCCATGCCCCCGTTCATCGCATTCGATCGACCCCGGCTGGCAAGCCTTTTACAAAAGATTACACGATGTTTGTGTAATAGAAACATCTGAACTAGGTACCTTAACACGAGATACACAGTAGAAAGAAATTGTTATACATTAATATTAATATTTCTAAATTGAAAAGGACTGGGGAAGCGTATAAATTTACATATGTATACAAATGTACTGTTAGAATACCATTTGCATATACGAATAATGTACATAAATAACGCTCTGTTTAAAACTGATTTTATCGTGCTTTTAAAGCTAGCCCTGTGTCATAAGAGAGTGAAGAGGGATGAATTTCCAATTACGAATAGACTAGAAGCATTTAAAGGCTTCTCGTACTTGCGTTAGCCATTTTATAATATAAAGCGCGAGAAACTACAAGTAGATTCATATTAAGATTCATATTAAGAGCAAGTCATAATTTATAATGGAATTGAACACATCGATAAATTACATAGAAAAACATATGTTGAGATAATTGTTTAACACGTTCGCTATCAGCCTCACATATGACAAACCATAATTTACGTGATAAATCATAAATTTTACTTTCCACTAAAACAAATAAAGTTTATCTTACTATTATCAAGTGATTTATAAAATATTATACCGCATATAAAAGAGAGAGAGAGAAAGAGAAAGTAATATGCGTGATCTGAGATTTTAATTAAGTATATCGAACAAAAGTAAGCGATACAGATATAGTGCCCTGCGACAAAAATTTTCAAAATCCAGTGTGAACGTGATTATTTCAGGATATTAAGATAAGAATAAGAACAAAGAATTTTTTTTTAAATATCAGCACAAAGAAATGTGAAGTCTCGAGTAACTTGTGATAAGATGTATTTGAATTGTCGACTTTGTATCAATTTGTTGAACAGGGTGATACTCAATATTTCACACAAGCCTAATTCGACGAAAATACTAAACATTTTCAATATATACGACACGACTGCAAAAATTTCCGGAGTTTTATCTTCGATATTAAAAAATATAGATTTTTAATTATTTGTAAAAAAAACTATGACCTTTCCAATGAATATGAAGATACTCTTTTTTAACAAAATTGTCGTGATTAAAAAAATTTAATCCCTATTAATGCATGGTATATCAGAACAGAAACTGATGAATTATCACAATAAATATTTGACAATGTAATTGTCAAGAAAATGTGTTTCCGGAAGCAACATATTTGGACCAGTCGAAAACCAATTCGAAAGTCAATGTACAGAATTTTAATCAGCTATAAGTTTGAAGAGTTAAAATAAAAAGGCAACATTAAATACACACATCTAGCTTGCGCAAATGCGAGAGAGCGACATTGTTGTTAGTAAATACAATATAAAATCGGGCGGCTTCATAATTTTAGATTATTATTTGATATATTGCGACAGGAGAAAGGAACGTGAACAATGCGACGAATAAGATGACGATATGAGGCACGAACGAAGACACTATAGTTATGTGACGCGGTAGCCGTAGACTGTATCGCTCGCATTAATTAGATAATATAATCGCAACATTCCATTAAAGCCGGGACTGCCAGCCGTTTAATAAATACTGACCTGGCAGTGGGTGACGCTGCGAGGAAAGTCGATAATACATGTAGATAATTAATTAATGTCTTTTTATTCATATCTGGAATAAAGATAAAAACAATTCAAACTTAAATCATTTTATTCTATTCATTACCGTGTCAAAACGTTGCTTTTAATAGACCGGGAATTGTCATGTCTCATGTCTTGGAGCAAGGCACGAAGAACGGGTATTATTTAATTAACCGAATATACATCCTGCACTGTCTTAATATCTAGAAAGTAATTTTACCGAATTATTTGAACATATACGTGATAATTTGTGCAAGAAATATCCAAGTTTAACTTTAATTTGATTTTAATAGTCAATCCTATTTCGGCGGAAAAAGCTTTTATTCGCTAAAATTATAGAACTTTATCGAGTTCTTTTTACTGCTACATATTTTGCGTTATTTTTATACGCGGCAAAAGAAAAGACGGAATAAAATTAGCATGAAAAAAAAGTTTAATGTATGACAGTTGATAAATGTTCTTCATACGAAATATATACGTATTATTCTTAATTGGCATGAAGCTGCTGAAAGAGCACAACGAAAGCAATTAAGTTCAAAAAATCTAAATATATGTCAATCATATATTAATTAATCGCAAAACAATTCCTGCTGAGCGCTGGATGGCAGTCCGGGCACACATCTTTGCTGTGCCAACGCAACGCGCGTCTCTTTTATGTATATACTATTGTAATTCTAATTAACCCCTTAGATAAAATAGCTAAAAGCGCGTGCTACGTTAAGTGAAGGTAACATATAACATTCACCTTCATCGCTGATTGAAGTAACATTTATTTATCTCATCAATTAAAAGAAAATGTTTCGGATAAACGTTATTCAGTTTCAGGAAGCATACGCGATATCGGATATTTTATTATTTATAAAAAATTCTGATATTTCATGAGCAATATCATCTACCTTTTAAAAAAATCAACTCTTTTATATTCTAATTTAAAAAGTCATATAAAAGGAAGTCATCTAAAATATAGTAGTAATCATTTCGATTTGCAATAACGAGAGTAAGCATTCTAAAAAATTGTATCATAGATTTAACATATTCAACAACCCTCTCTTTTTTACAATGTTTTAATTCTCAATATTAAATATCTCGTTACCCAACCATTGTATTAAAAATTTGCGAATATAAAATTACGTTTTATCGATTTACGAGTTTAATACTCTTTTGATTATTATGTAAATTTTATTCTATAAGCAAGATGATTATTTATATTAACATTTATATTTTACGATATGTATGCAGACCAAGAAAATCAAGAAAGTACAATAACGAGACTCGTACTATTTGAAATCGAAACTTTAATGTAAATCAAATAATAAAAATACAAATATCAAATTCTCCAGTAAAATATTGCTTAACTTATTGTACATTTACAAAAACAGTACAGTACTATTGGTTGATTGCTTAATTTAAATTTAATTATCATTTCTAATTTTTCTTTTACTAAGGGTTTCTACAAGGGATTTTACAAATATTTCGTAACTTATATTTCAAAGTGTTTCTTGATTTCTGTCATAAAAATATATTCTAAAAATTCAAATGTTATAGCAAACAATTGTTTTTTAGTTTAAAAGATAGTTTTAAAGTATTTCTCGGTTTTCTTTGTCCATGCAGTTTCAATTTTGAATGATATTAGATAGGATAATATTTTCGCAAGAAGTTGTTATTCTCTGAGAATTAAACCATTTCCTGAATACCCTTTCTGATTAAATAATTTTTATCTGAAATATTAATTGATGATGATTGACGCGAAGAAGATATTATCTGTGAACGTCTCGACGACGAGGCGTAAAAGCGAGTCACCCGACAACGGATAATTTTATGGCCGATAAATAAATTTTGTAGATATATATAATTCCTCTTTACACACACATACACACATCTTCCTAAAGCTAATAACGCTTTAATATAATTGTATGTAATTTCTATATAAATTGTCATAATTACAACACGGCACAACCATACAATAACGTATAGTTATATCAAGTTTGTCACTGTATGGAGGATAACGATACACATTTAACATTGTACGTACCCCCAAATTGTGTGCGTAGTATGCAAATTAATAGCATAACTTGCGTGCTACGCACACTTAATACGCTAATATACTTTGTACAATAATACTCGTCTTTTGGGAGAATGATATTATGATTAAAGAGAGCTTCGTTTCAACGTACTGAATTAAGGAAGGTTATTTTAACGATTACTCCGATATTTCACGGATGGGATTATTTTTATTACTTACTTTTTATTCTATACATATACTAAGTCTATTCGATCTCCCCTTCCCGTTTCCTTCCTTTTTTTACGGATTTGTATTTTCTAATGCGCCGACCTATATCAGCGAATCGGAACTATTGAAAGCTCCGTTTATTGTAAGTTTCGAAAGACTTGTACAATATGAATAATCAATAATAAATCAATAATAGAAGCTTCGTGGTCCAAAATCAAAATAAATTGAAGTTGGAAATTATTCAGCTGTACCGAGTATGAATTATAATTGCAATAAATTGACGTTTCAGCTTTAAAGGAGGATGAGATTGCGTCAAAAACGAAACTCAAGGATAAAAACAAATTAAGGTAAATGTACCAATGCCGGGACACTTAAGATCTATGTCTAGACACCTTTATCATATTAGTATTTAAATTTAAATAAGTAATAGGTTGGCCAATAAGTCCGTGCGGTTTTTCACTTATAAATGTTACTTACAAATAACCGCACGGACTTATTGGCCAACCCAATATAACGCGAATTAAAATCAAAGATAAAAATGTAATACAAGAAAAATATTTTTATCTTCGATTCTTTGATTTTAATTCGCGTTATGACTTATTTAAGGATTAAAATGATAAAAATGTCCAGACATACGTACGTGTCCAGGCATTGGTACATCTACCTTAATCCGAATACAGATAATCCATCACACTGTAGTTATGACAATATTAAAAACTTTAAATTTCTATATTTTTATCCTATACAATATAATGCCCTTAAATTATTAAAGATCCTTTTAGTTTTTCTAATAAATCTCAAAAATTAATTTTTCTGTAACGAAAACTGTGAAAAATTCTTTCGGCCCAAGTTTCAGAAACTATTTTTAAAATGTTTATCATTTTTTATATTTACTGCACAGAAAGCTTTTAATACAATAAAAATACATATCAGCATGCCAATGTCGGAATAATTAATTATATATAAAAATTTATTTTATTACGTAAAATTAACGCGTATTTGGAATGTACCTTTCATATTTAAGTCTTTTCTGATTTGGCGCTGTATGCAAACGGTAAACAAATTAGGGGAAGGTAATAACATCATCTCATAGTCCTTGGATACCGGGGTATACCAAGCAATGACAAGGCAGATAGACAGGCCAAGGCAGGGACGATGGAGGACCCATCTGACCAGATTGTCTTTCCTTTCACCGAAGATAAGAAGGTCAGGAGCTATTTGGAGAAAAAATAACTGGCCAGATGGAAGGCCTGTGTGAAGGAGAATGAAATCGCAAGTCGGATACGATTATATTCGTGTGGATTAAATTAGCCAATAGGATTTATGCGAATGGAATAATAATGCACATTTCTGTACGATGTTACATAAGATTATATTTTGCAACTTTCTTCTCTGCGGTGTTCTTTTAGCGGGCCGGACCCATTAAAACGTGACAAAATGTTCATTCGTCGTAATAATACATCGTTCGATTCTTTCTTTTATTCCTCTTTTTGGCTTTTCAATTTCTATTTCTTCTCTTTACGATGATCGACCAGGATTTAATCGTGTTTGCTATCAATTTCGTACAGTCTCTCAAACATACCGATCGAAAGAAGCGCGTATACGTAAACGCGTTGTCGCAAAATCTACCCTACTCACGATGGCGAACTAATAATCTTTCTTTCACACACTCATACTCTCTTTTTCTCTCTTTCTCTCTCACTCACTTTCATATTCAATGCTCCACTTGTCTATGCTCCCATTGTCTTCTCGTGGCCATATAAAAAAAGCGCTCGATGCCGGCTAGTGGAAAATGAAAACAGGATTAATACAATTCCTCCCGGCTGTCGCGAACGGGAGCGCGCCGAACATTGTGCAAAGTAACAATCTTCAATTGCAATGTTGATTAAATCACATCGTTACGGAGCCTTCATTTTCAAGCACAATTATTTTCAGAACATCTGTAACAATACGTGTTATATACCGACTCTATTGAGACATTTCGAAAAATAATCTAATCCAATAAAGAAAATGTTACATTTGCGCGTTAATTGTCTATACATATTCTAAATCCTCTAAAAAAATTAAGTCCTATGAAATTATCGTATATCGTTAATCGTACAAATGCCACATACAATAAATTAATAATTTATTATAGTTATTAAGATATTTCAAATCGTTTTAATATGAATTTAATGCAACAGTCAATTTCGTTATCCTGCACAACGTTTCTTCGCTATAAATGTAAATACACACTACATGTACACATACATGTACACGTATATATGTGTATATATACATACGTATATAAATGAAATTATAAACTAATATTTTGTTTCGTTTAAAGTGCTTCAATAATAATTAATAATATTAATAAAATTAAAAGTAACTAATCCGTATTTTTTATGATAATTACATATAACGAAATATTCGCAGTGTCTATTCATTTGTTATATTTTTTACACACACACATATATATGTGCGCGTATGTATGTGTGAGGGGTGTATGTAATGTATACATACGTATATTTATGATGCGAGCTTACACTTGTATAATTGTTTTGTTAAGTATTTACAATTGCAGAAGGGTATGATCATTATTTTGTAGGCACTATGGCTTTGGACGTACACTAAGTTGTACGTTAGGGTACATCCTTGAGGGACTTCCAGACAATTTTTTCCAGTGTATCCTTGAGATCTCGAGGAACAAGAAGAGGTATCTCTACACGAATCTCGCTCGATAAAACAATTCCAGCACCGCGTTACTCGACAGTATCCAAGTTCACCGGCAAGAAACTCTCTTTAAAAAAAATCCCGTGATCAAGTCCAGAATAGTACTGCGTCTTAAATCTTAGGATCTTAGACAATATGATCGATTGCGAATTGGGATTAAATACGCATTTAAATATGACAATATAGTCTAAGATCTTTCACTCGTTTTCGCCACTGTACATATGTACGTTTTGACTTTATCTACGTTCGTCTTCGTGACATCGATAAAAAGCTGATCAGCGTGTGACTCCTTCTAAAACCGGCTAGTAACATAATCATCATAAAACGATTAGTGGCCATCGCGTTCCATTTCCCTTTCAATGAATAACGAGGAATAAAATAATATATTTAAAACGGAAAACGACGTTTATTTATCTTGATTTGTCATTCGACCGGTCGGAGTTACAAAAGCACGCGAAATAAGACTACCATACTGTCGAATTTATTAACAAGGCAATATGTATTCGTTATTAAAAAAAATATCGTCCGGAGGGAAAACGATGAATTCTACTGTTGCATATTTAACTTAGAAAATCCAAGTCCCGATAATACGCACACAGTCGTTTCTCGCGCGCGCGAGCGTACGGAATAATCCTCGCAATCTCGTCTCTCTCCTCTCCCTCTCCTCTCCGTCAAACAAAACCTTATATCAGAAAGAATTCGATGACATTAACCGTCTCATTCATTTTACAGTTGGACAACTACGGAAAGCAATCAGATCGTTGTCCGACACGAGTACAGTCTGTCCTCTCTCTGAATTCCCAAATACATTCTTTCTTCTATCTCTTAGCTCAATTTACAATATTATTACAGATTGCACGAAAAAGCGCCTTCGCTCTTCAACTTTTCTTCCTTCTTCTCTCCCTTTCTTCCTTGCACACATGCACACGACAAACATAGATACACACATATGCATACATACACTCTCTTTCCTCTCCTATCTCTTTGTCTAATGTCTTCGCAATCCATTCCGCGAACGCGATCAACGCAGACCATGCCGAAAGCACGCATTAACAATATTGTGATATGTTTATCCTGTGCCTCGCGGTTTGGCTTCTTCACATTCAGAGTTTGTGATCCAATAAGAAATTAAAATGGTACGATTAAAATATTTTGGCGCAATCAGATCAATAGCATTCCTTTAGAATTTTTATCTGGGACAGATAATAATGAATTGGCTAGTGTAAAATTATTTTACGGAAAAATATAATGCATTATATAGTGCAATTTATACAATCTGTCTTTGGTTTCTGTAGAATAAAATTTAAAATTGCCTCTGGTGTGTCTTGATTATCTTATAGCTATTCTTTTAAGCGTGACGTCTTATAAGTACAAAAAATGCGGAAAACAAATTCCAGGTAGAAAATTGCGTGCTTGAAGAGACAGTAAATAAACAAAAAGGTCTTTGTATGCTCGTGATTCCTCACGAAGATCGACGTGCGGAACGAAACTGTCAACCACCACTGCGAAGGCGCATTGTAAAACTGACGAAGCAATTCTGTCTGTTTGAGGAACAGCCCAAAAAGACACAAACGCCCGTGCAATAAGCGGTTGATATTTCTAAATATTAAAATCGAAGAGATCCGAAAGACCCTCTTCGGTGCCTAACGAGAACGAGTAGTCGTTTTCGGAGAGAGGCGGTTCCAAAGTCAGTAGTTGTTCTCCAAAATCGAGAATACTCAGATCTGCAACAAAAGTAAGACGAATGATGAACTTGCTATAATATCAAATCTAGCCTCATTTTCATTAGATTGCTTGCAAACAATTATTTGAAAGAATAATTCTGAAAGCTTTTGATTATGTATAAATAAAGACTTTTCAATATTTAAATGAATCACATATTACAAACGGATTCATAGTTACACATTATTAAGAAATATATATCAGTAATGCAGATCATCTAATTTACTTTAGTTTTCTTGTGATGCACCACAAGCACTTTTTATTTTATAAATTTTATTTAAAAAGTTTGCAATCAGTTAGGAAGCGTTAAAGAGTACAATTAATGCATATTGTTAGTTTTTAGAATTACATGTTAAGAGCAGTTTGCTAAATATACGCTTATAAGCTTTTATTAAATAAGTTTTGAAAATAACAACGTGATAATGTTTTTGTAATAGATCGTTTAGTCGTGTAAATATTTGTGGAATCAAAGTAAAGTGCTGCAAAATTCGGGTCGATTACATCAATTTCCAAATTACATATATGTTCCCCTTCCAAGAATTTTCAGAGATAATTATAATGAAAAGATTTTTTTTATGGAAACATCTTGTATCCATGTATTACGTGATAATATTAACGCGGTAACATTAAATAAAACATAATAGAGGCCAATAATTAGTATAAGTGAACGTACCTTCGCACGACACGAGCTTTGCTGTTTGAAACCGTTACCTAACTAGAACTCTGCCTGTGATGTGATTTTGATAATTTTAACACACAAGTCACAGCCAGAGCTCCATCAGGGTACGGCCATCATCCATTGGTGAAAAGGCAGTGAAATATTCAAAAGAAAGGTAATATGGGTCATTAAGTTACATGAAAACATTTAACTTCCACTGCCTTTCTTTTGAATAATATTTGTCCACAAGTGATTATTAAATTGTAACATGCAACACGTTCTTTTCGAATGAAAAAGGATGTAATTCAACAATTGCAAGATAATTATCTCACATACGTAATATCTGTTTTGCAAGTTTCAACATGCTTTCAATATGAAAAGAACGTCCAGTAAACGTCGGAGTTTATTTTAGTAACACAGAGGCAAAAAAATTTTTTATTACTTTATTTAAAAAAAAAAGAAATACAACTGTACATATACAAAGCGTAAAGCATTAAACTAAATGAAGCATTAGAAATATTGCGCAATTAAAGCAAGAAAAAATTAAGTAAAAAAAGAATGTACAAAATACACAAGATAATTGGTATAGCAATATATTAAAATCTCAACAAAAAAATTAAATTATGAATATGCGCGGCGAGAAATCAAGAAAATCTTGTTTTTTTATACTATACGTTTAAATGAAATATTAGAAAGTCTCTTTTCAATTAATAAATGCATGTGTAATTTAAGCTGCATCTATCTCGAATTTTTTGTGAAAATAAGTTTTGACAGTTAATCAAAAATTACAGCTATTTATTAATCTATAAATGGGAAAAAGCCTTTGATATATTCAATCAATCTGTATCTTATCAAAAATGCATCAAGCAACATGTAAATAAAAAAAAATTAATTTATTATATTTATTATAATTTAACATATAGTAAAAAGAAGAAAAAAAGATTTCTCGCTTTATTTCCGACATCATAATTCAATATAATTACAGTAAGAAAATAGAATTCTTAATGCCAATTATAAAAGAACGTATTATCACATAATTCAATAATGTTATTCTTTCGATATTTGACATATTAGAAGTATGAATATATTTTAAATAAAAAGAAATAAAATATTATATTTACAAAGTAATACAGTATTAGATTTTGCGAAAAAAATATTGATATATATGCCAACAAGAAAGAAGTAATTTATAATTTTTCAATTCTGATAACATTTGTTTTATAACAAATCATTTAATCTGATATATTTAAATTTGCATCTTAATTTACAGTTTCACAGTTTCACATGATCCAATTGCATAATCTATGAGAATATTCGGCACATGTTAAAATATAAATGAAAAGATCACAAAATTTATAAAATTAAAAATTTGACAAATAGTTTCCTTGTACGAAATAAAATACATAAATTTCGCAAAAATATAGACAAAAGCAAACAGAAGATACTAATAATTTACTGGAAAAAGCCTACCTTAAAAATTAAATATGTTTTCCCTACTTCATTCCTTTAAAATTAGTTTAAGCATTTTCAATTTCATTACTTTTAGAAAATCCATTAGTATAAAATACGAAGAAAGCTTTTTTCGAGAAAAAGAAAAAGCACACAAGCATTATTTCCTTCTAAATCTTACCTGAGCTGATTTGGTCCTCTGTTTGGAGTTGGAATTTACCACCGCCCATTGGTCCATAATCATCGGATTCGCATAAGAACGCGTCCTTCATGCTTGTTATACTGGTAACTGTAGTTACGGGAGTACATAGACGAGTATTTATGAAACTCTCGTCGGAAGGTACTGGCTCGATTTGCTCGTCGCTTTCTCGATTAATCAACAATTCAGGAGGCAAACAAGATAAATCGGATTCTTTTGATTGAGGCACAGATTGCGTTGTCGCGTACCCGGGATAGGGTAACGTTTTGACTGTGGAATCCTCAGGACACAGAAACACACCTATTTCTCCGTTTTCCGACCTCATGTGCATTTGAAGCTAAAAATATTGATACGATTGGAATACAATGCACGGTAAATATCTTTGATCAGAGAATACAAAATAGTATTTTTATCTTAACGTTAGAAAGCACGTGGAACGTAACAATATGTATAAATAATATCAAATTTTACTACTATTTTACCTTTTGTTGACCGAAGTTATTGATCGGTTGCGGGACATGGAGTGTAGCTTCCGGCGGGGCCTTCACAGCCATAATAACTTGTTCTTTGTACATTGAGACTGAACGTAAATCATGATACGTCACATAAGCGTATTGTCTGTCCGCGCAGAGTTCGCGAAGATTCTTATCGGCACCGTGGATCAGTCGATCCAAGGTGTTCTCTTTAGCTTCCAAATCCGCGACCTCCCTTCTCAGATTAGCGATATCGTTCCGATTGTTCGGTAACTGACCGCCTCTATAACAAGCAATTAACGTCTCGAGTGTAATCTACGATTATATCGATGCAGAATAGACGATAAACTGTATGATATACTAGGAGATAACGTACTTCCACTGGATATTGTTTTTACTTTTCTTCTCTAAGATACCGATGCCCTCTAAAACATTAGTAATGTCGTATATACGACGTTTTTGTACCTCCAACTTCTCTGACGCTACATTCAAGTCCACCACACCATCCTGACTGCTCTCGACTAAGTGAATGAACTTCTTTGTGAGCAAACTCAAAGACGTGTCATATCGTGTCCTCTCTACAGTTTTACCTGCAATACAATAAACGATTTTTTCCTTGGATGACACGCGAAGAAAACAGGGAAAAGGTCATAGAGCGGAAAAGACATTTACTTTTGGTAGGTGTATGACCGGCTAAAGAATTCGAGCCGGATCTTCTGCGTTTACCTCTGGGTGCTTTGAAGGCAGACTGGCTGGGGCCAGTTGTCCCTACCTCCAAATTCAGTCTTCTTTTTACCGCTTGAACTGATATCTGACAAGAAGAGAAGAGCTTTGATTGGTCGATAGCATGCTTATTTAATCTCTTTGCACATATCAATATTGAGATTTGTAGACAATTGTGATTAAGATTACTGTAAGAAATCTGATTACTATAGAAATTTTACCTCAGCATCAATTTACCATCATCACTCATCAATCATTTTACCTCAGCTCTTGGTGGTGGTTGCGTGGGTTTTCTCGCTATTTGATAACAAGGCGTTTGTCCGTACTGATGATCCTGTAAGTGAGGGCTCGGTGTTTCTTCCGCCACTTTTGAAGGTTGGATCTCATCCAAAGAACCGTCATCCAGGAACTCGGGCTTTACTGTAAAAAGATGATTCGAGTGAGCTAATCTGAGGGGGGAGTTAACAATGACTTGGATTATATCTTCAAGTGCAACTCACACAACTTTGTGTCCACCATGTCCGGAGTAACCGGCCTGGCTGGATCCTCCAGGATCACTTGTCTCCTTACCCGAGGCATCCTGGTAATGCGATTGTGTCTGAAATGAGGCACACGTGAAACTGTCAAATTACAAAGCCACACATCAATTACCTTCTAATTAAATAATCATGCTGCTTGAAACGCCATAATATTGACAATCTTCAAAAAAAAAAAACTATACCGATATGATGTACCCTCAACAACGCGAGATGCAACAGATCGACGCGACCGGGCATTTCGACGAGATCGCAAGATCTGCGGTCCACGAGCGGAGCACGCGAGCTAACAATAAGTTTCCCGTACGCGAAAGATTTCTAGGTTTCCTGCCGCGCGACTCGCGATCGCGTCGCTATACCGGCCATTCGACGTTCGACACGCGGCCGCGCGGGGAAAGAATTGCCGATTAACGGCGGCGCACGGACCTATTTCTAAGCACACGGCCGCATTTTCGGCCGTTAACCGCTATCGAGTGCTGCTCGCCGCGAGCGAGCGCGCGCGCGTCACACGTGCGGCCGCGACCGCGGCAGCGGCAGCGAGTGTCATTTTTAAATCCCAAGGTTTTTCGCTTCTCCGGCTCCCTACGGCGGCGGGGGAGGCGGGTGGAGGGAAAAAAAGACGCGCCGCCCGCGTCGTCGACGGATGGGCGACCTGTCCGCGCACCGGGCGGCGGGCGTAAAAGCGACGACCGACCGACCGTGTGCGTACACGTGCGCGAGCGCGAGCGCGTTCACACCACGGGCAATACGGAAATAATAAGGGCGACGCGATCAAGCAATGCTACGTGTGCAGTATTAGCATCTCTCTTCTCCCTCTCGCGCGCCGCGAGCCGCGCCGTCCGCCCGTCTTTAGTGGAAGGCGCGATCGGATTGCGCGGCGCCGTGCTTTAGGTCGGACGCGCACGAGACTCGCGAGTCCAATGAAAGTGGCGGCTGCTGCGAGCGTGCGAGCTGCGAGGAGCCAGGGCCGGCAGGGGAGGAACGCGACGCGACGCGAGTTGGAGAAAATTCGATTCCGAGAAGAAACGCGAGGAAGAGCCGGAATAGCTCCGTTAAATTCGAAATGTACGTGGAACTTGAAGAGCGAGGAGAGAGATCGGATAAAGTAGAACCGGAGAAACTAATAGATCAGATGAAATTGAACTTGAAGACGTCCGGGGTTTACGTATACGTGTCAAATTTCGAGAGCGAAAGGGGAAATGGGACATACAATAGAAAAAAAGGAGATGACGCGAAGAAAAATCTTCTCTCAATCGGGCGTTAAAAATTTCAGATATAACAATTTTCGTCTGTCCGCGGCTTATTGAAATGCCAGCACAGCTGATCGTCTCTGTCGTTATCTTTTAAAAGGCACGAAAGCAACATTTGTTCCATCATTATCGAAATATTTGGTTGATAAGTCCAAAGTCGTTAATCGTCGATACCTAATCATTAATCAAGATCTCGCACTTTCAACTCCCGTCAGCGGCCAGCTGTGCAATTAGGCAGTTATATCTTTCGCCCAGCCTAAAAATAAGATTCGCGCGCATTTTACTAAGATAGATGCGGCGTATAATTGTATAAATTATAAATGTTCTCGAGGCTCGAGGGATAAGGCACGTTCGCGCGGAATGGTACTTTTCAGATTGGTTCGTCGTGGTGTCAACCGAAGCATCTACACGTGACGCGCCGTTTATATCCATCAGAAGCTATAAATAAGAAGATTACGTTCTCGAAAGTCATTTCTCGCGTAAGTGTGTCTCTTCGCGTCGCGACGGTATAAACGTACGTAAATGTCGCATCGGTAGATCTCGCGAGATTCCCCGAGATGTTTATCTACGCGAGTTGGAATCTAACGCGATAAAGATAGCACATGATTTTAATATTAAGATATTATATAGCGGCTTCTTCGCGCTTGGTCTACAATCGCGATATGTATACTCGGCATAAACTTTAGATTCGTCTGTCTCCGCAGTCCGCCAATAAGTCCATAGGTACTCTGACAAGCGAAAATCGTAGTCAGTTGTATAAGGCTCTTCATCGAATGCAAACACGTTCGCTTCTCTGTGTTCTACGACGCAGCGGTTCTCAAGCCGCATTTTCAGCGAACTCGAGATACTCACAGGAGCGCAATCAGCGAAACTATCCCCCCCCTCGTCGATAACTCGATTGTTACTATTGCAATCAAGTACCTAAGGAAGCGAAATTCAACGAATTTGGAAAAAGTAATGAAAATATGAAAATAGATGTATCAAATGTATAAATAGTTCTTTACTCTTGCAAGTTATTCTGCGAAAGAAATAGAAAATTGCTTGATCTCAAAAATGAATAATCCACAGAAAATATTTATTATTTTTACATCAAAAGGCAGTAAATTACTTTGATTTGCGTGTTATTTTATATTTCATTGCTTAATTGTTACCTATGTTTGATCGAAAGATCATCGGAGAAGAAAAGAGATATCTAGAAATAATCAAAGGAGAGAAGCAAGTTAAGAATATTAGGTATATCGCAAGATGATTTCAAAATCGAATGAGCTAACTTAAGGGCCTCGCACGGCAAAGGCTTGGTTGGTATGCGTCCGAGAACGGACCCATGGTGCGCTCGGGCCGGGGAATTTTAGAAAAAAGAAAAAAAAAGAACAAGCATTCCGGGACAAGCCGATCGTTCCGGGTGCGATTTAAAGAGACGGACGCTCGCGTCTCGAAAATATCCTATTCTGTACTTGTGACTTATCCAACTCCGATCATAGAACATTTTTGTAGCGTTTTGGAATAACGCCACATGGATGTAAATACAATTGTTTGGATCTATCCCTCTTCGGACAGATCGATTAAGCTTTCGATATATTTCTCGTTTATTATTTATATAATTCTATACGTGATAAATATAACTTAAAGCTTGATAACATTAGAGACTGTATGAAATTTTAAAATCATTCAATAACGTTGCAAAGGAACGTATATTCAGTTTCATTAGGATATCCCAAAATGCAAACGGATGTAAATCGAGAGAAAAAAAAATTAGAATTGATGTTACAGCGTCAATAAAAAAAAAAAACCTAACGCTACTCGCAGCTCGCGTCTTCTGCCGGGTACACAACCAGCTAGTGAGAGTTACTGGGATCTCCCGAGACGAATAGCGTCACAATTTGTGCCTGGAAGGTTGGGAGCAATGCACAACGTCATTGATTGGTCAGCCGTTATCTCGGTAAACCAAGGTATGTACGAGAAGTATCGCACAGCACATCGGCTGCACTCGATGCAAAATTAATGCAGCATCGATTGAAAAACAACTGCTTCTTTAACAGGCGACGACGTCGACAACCTCGAGCTATTTGTTCATTTCTTATCTTTATCTCGGACGTGGAGGATGAGATCGCTCGATTTTTGCCTTCCCGTCCGCCGATTGGTCGCTCGCGGGGATGGCCCGTCAAATCAACCAGGTAGAAAGCACATGTCATTTTGACGTCAAAATGACATGTGCTTCCTACCTGGGCACGTGGTTGGCGAATCGACGATTCTCACTAACGACGATCCCAGAAACGTGTTCTCGCGTGTTTGCAAACGAAAAGCCTATTCGATCACTTACTCGGGGATTAACAAACTCGAGGATTATTACTAACCGGCGACAAAGCGATTTCACGACTTTGCTCCGTATGTTCGCAACCGGGCGCAACGTGGTACTAACGCCGGGTCCTCAGTGCGCCGAAGACAGGAAACGCCGCCGCTATACCACGACGATGGCGGCGGCGGGCGTCCACGAGACGTGCGCTGTGCGAGGATGCAAACGAATGCGCAATGTGTCTCGTGTGCACGAGGCTTCAGGCGGCCAGATGTGACGAGGCAGACCCTCTCTCTCTCTCTCTCTCTCTGTCTCCCTATCCCTTTATTATTTCGTTCTTCCGTTCGCAGAGGTCTTAGGTCGTGAGCTCTATCGACACCAGCATAACCATATCCTATAGGGTGGTTTCGACTAGCCCCGATTAATTTAATCGGTGATTAATGATTATCAAGTAATATCTATATAGAATTATTATAGAATAACTTTTTGTTAATAACGTATAGAACAAAATTAGATGGAGCAATGAAATATACAGTTGGAAATTTTGCTTTAGACAATTCTGTCGGTTCAATCAATTGGTTAAATTAATCGGGAGTTTGAACAAAGTTGCCCTTAATCTCTATTTTTCTAAATTCTGGGACCGCACACGGGGACGAGACCCAATGAAAATTTTAAGCCGCTAGTATCAGAAATTTTTTGTGTAAAACATTTAATATTTCGCAATTTAGCAAGTAAATTCAATTTTATATATGGCAGGCACATAAATTTTGAACATTTGCATTTTCCAGTTATGTCCGAAAACCTGAAAAACGGAATAATATAGTCCACGTAAAAAAAAGTGTCTTAGAATTAACTGGCCGATTAAACAAATGGTAAAATAAAACAATAGCACTTTGGCCAACTCTATAGCAACTTCAGTTCTTTCTATTTCGCGTCTCTCGCTTCTCTTATCAAAATCTGACGAGCGGTGCCACGATTCTAGCTCGACGTAACGTGCAATCAGCTGTTAGCATCGATCGAAGGCCACGCGTTGCCGCCGGCGTTCTCGCGCCGTCGATTGTCAGAATTCTCGATTCCTTCTCGAAAGAGCGAGACCCCGGTCCCCGAGGAAAAGCACTATCGTTCCTCGTGGGACGATAACGGCCAATGGCACGCGAGCGGAGGGGAAACGATGCCTCCCCATTGGCAGAGCTGTCAAACATCGCGCGCGCGTCTCGATCATTTTCGCACGTTTTCGAGATTCGAGGTCCGTTCGAGGTCCGCTCGTTTCGCTTTTCCGCGTCCGAGAAACGCCGATATTTAGAAGAGAGAGAAAGAAAGAAACAAAAAAAAAGAGAGAGAAAGATAGAGGGGGGGAGGCGCGAAAAAGCAAAGCGACCGCATATAGGAACCTTCAACAAGCTTGCCTTCACTCGCGCAACGACGCGACGCGACGTATGTATGTACATACCGCTCCTTCTCGGCTGATCGGCTCGTTTCCCTCTTCGCGCCACCCTTACGTCAATCGAGACCGGCGTTCGCGGAATCTCGAGAAACTCGATCCAGTGCCGTATCATCGGACGAATAATGAGACTCGAAGTCACGACCTCGTGCACACCGACGCGCGTTCACGCACGCACACGCACGCCGGCTAGGCAGGACGCGGCAGTTGCGGCACCGGTGACCGGAGCGGAGCGGAGCGGAGGAGAGATACGCGCGCTCCCACACGCGGGAGCGAGCACACGTACGCGCGCGTACGTGAAAACGCGCACCATCGCGTCGCGGCGAACTCGTTTAAAGAGCCGAGACGACACCGCCGATCGCTAGTAAGGTGCGCTACCGGCACGACATAAAGGAGCAGCGCGCGGGCTCCGTTGCGTTGCTCCGAGGATGCTTCCTCGTTCCTCGGCGCGTCTTAGCCGAAGCGACGACACGATGCTTGATGCTTTCTACCGGCGCGGCGCGGCAGCCGGCGAGTCGAGACCTGTCGAGAGTCAAGGAAGGGTCGCGCGAGCACCGGGTGCTGACCTGTTGGCGCCGCCGCCAGGCGCGTAAAGTCACGTTTCTGCTGGGGAAGTCGTTAACAGTCGCGGAGATCGACGCCGCCTCCGATGACGACGATCCTCGTCGATCTCGAGCGAGAAAGAGAGACGGAAGTAACGAGTCTCCGGCGCGGAGAGATACGGGGCCGCTCTCTCGTACGCCGCCACCACCACCGCCACCGCCGCGACGCGGACCTTCCGTCTCTCTTCCTCACGGCTCGCTCCCGGTTTTTTCTACTTACTTGGCTGCTTGCGAACGTGTGCGCTGCGCTGCGCCGCACCGCGCCGCACCGCACAGTATTTTGAGACGGAGACCCGCGCTCTCTCTCTCTCTCTCTCTCTTTTCCGGGAGAAGATTCAGCAGGCCAGCACCCGGCGCGCGGCGCGTGTCACAGGACGGACGGAGCCGGGCATCCCCCAGTCCGGGTGGTCCGGTCCCTCGTTCCCGCGGCACTCGACAGGGATATGGCACACGAGAGCACCGCGAGGCTGATGGCAAAACCGTTGCCGGCGGACGGAGCGAACGAATGTCCGAGAACGACAATGACGACAAATAATTGCCAAACGCGCACGTCCCCGTGCCCTTCCTCGTCGGGCCTCTATCGCCTCGAGACTCGAGATGTACCGATCGGATTATCGCCCGCGATCTCACCCTTTCCCTGCGTTCCCCGCGTTCTCTGCGTTCCCTCGACCACGTCGTCGTCGTCGTCGTCGAGCTGCGGTTTTACATGCTATCGCCGTACTTAGCGATTTCTCCCTCTTTCTCTCCCGGCATGCGTCCCTCTTTTTCTCTCGAGGCCGCCCGTTTCTACGAGCGTGCTGCTGCTGCTGCTAGAGTACGGTGTCCATTTTCTGCGCGATCCGATACCGCCACCGCCGCCGCCACCGCCACGGTTACGCTACGGGCTACGCACAGGCGGATCGACGCAAGCAAGGCAGCAGGTAGCCAGAGGCGAGCAGGCGGCTCTTCGCGTAACGGAACGGAAGGGCGTCCGTCCGTCGTTCGAGAAAGATACGCTGGATCGAGAACGTTTCGGCCGTTTTTCACCGTCTAAAATACGGCGTGGCGCGTTCGCTCGGACCTTAGAGTTAGAGCGAGCCCCGCCTCGGCATGCTTGGCATGCTCGGCTCTCGGCTCGGTTCGACTCGACTCAGGCCAGAAGCCAGGAGGCCGGCGAGCGAGGAGAAACGAACCTTCTCTCCCTCTCTCTCTCTCTCTTTCCCTATGCGGGTCTCGTTGCGTCGCGCGTGCACATACGAGGCTGGGTTCTGGAAGATCCGGGCGAGAAGATCGGTCAGCTCGTTGGTTCTTCCGATCGAGTGTGTAACCGTGTAGACGGACTCCGTGGCGCGCTGGCACGACTGGCCGCGTCGGGCAACGAGACGAGGAGCGGACGGAGTTCACGGAGTGTGCCGCGTGCGCCGCGCGCCGGTGCTCACTGCTCGGCGAAGCCCAAGAGAGGGAACGAGGGAGAGAAAGAGAGAGCGGAGCGGAGAGCCACAGCCGCGTGTCCCTGTTCCCTGTCCGTGCGTATATATTCGCGAACGAATGTCTGGGGAGGCCCCTGGCCCCTCTCTCTCGCGCGCGCGAGGTGGTGTACGACACCAGCTGCGCGTATCGGCGTATATACGAGACCGAGACCGCAAACGTCGACTCGCGTCGCGTCGTGTCGCGCGGCGCCGCCGCCGGCGCGTGTATGGTGTATGGTGTATGTGCGGCCGCGGAAAAGCGCGGACGCGCGACGGCGTCAATGTGTCAGCCGTTCGCTCGCGCGCGGCGCGCATGCGCCGCCTAGCCGTTAAACGTGCGTACGCGCGGACGAACGAGAGAGTGAGCGAGCGAGCGCGAAAGAGAGAGAGAGCACGATGACGCTTCCAAATGTGTACGTCAACGAGTCGCGCGTCGTCGTTGACGATGTCGTGATAATGGTGCGCTCGCTACGTCTGGCGACGTAGCTTGTTGAAGCTTCTTCGAAAGATTTCCTCGAAAGGGAAAACCGACAAGTTTCGTAATCGATAGAAATCTCTCTTTCTCTTTCTCTGCCGCTCTCACTTGACGTCCGACAGGTGAATAGGTGAATAGGTGACGCTTGAAGATGACACCGCGAGACGTAAACTTACCCGAAGTAGCCCAGCTCTCGGAGTTATCCTCAGCAGCGCGCGAGCGCGCCCCTCGCGACGATTCAGGCAGACTCGGACGGGCGGAAGGCACTTTCGCGGACCGCGGTGAACACTCGAGCAGCGGACGCGTTCGCTTCGCGTTTACGCGGCGGCAGCGCGTCGTTCCTCGCCGCCTTTCATAAGTGCGCGCGCCCGCCCGACCGGACGGCGGCACCCTCGCCGTACTGGTTGCGGCTCGCGGCACTAGTGGCGGTGGTCGATCGTCCGTGTGGGTGTGCGTGTCGGCGTGTCCGTGAGCCGGCGTGCCGCGGTACCGGCCATCTGCCGGTCGCGCGCGACAGCTGAAAATACGCGCGCCAAAACCGTCGCCCGTCGCCACTAGCTTCGCGTTGTCGCGCGTCGCGCACCCGATATGCCCGAGAGCCCGAGCCTTTTCCTCCAGACGATATCACCGAGTATCACCGAGTATCACGACATTCGCTCGACCCGCGGATCCCCGCGCGCGAGCAAAGATGCAGATATGCAGGAGATGCCAGCGGGAATGCCCGTTCTAACGAGAGCGACGCGCGATAACCGCCCGCGAACGTCAACTGCAGTTATTATCGGGATTACGAGCGCGTCCCGTTCCGTTTCACGCGCGTCATCGCGCCTCGTCGAGAGTCCTCGGTGTCCTCAGCCGAGAAGGCTCGTCCGGCATCCCATTGAGCGTCGGCGGTCGCTTCGCGTCTCGCGTCGCCCGTCCGATTTACCCGCCAAAATCCCGCCGACCGCTACTCCGTCGAGGTTCCGCCGCGGATCCGGGCGGCGATAGCGCCGTTACCGAGAGATATCCCTGCGGCCGCCGCTCTTCTCCCCGTCCACGTCCACGTCGACGTCGCGCGGCACCGGTTATCCGGGTTATCCACTATCGGCACTCCCGCAGGCATTCCCGCGTTTCCGGAGCGCACTATTACCATACCGGTCCGCCATGCTCGGGGGTGTTGGCGAACAAAGTGAGCCTCCTCTAGTCCTCTCTCTCTCTCTCTCTCTCTCGTTTTCCTTCTTTCTCTCCCCCTCCCTTCCCCTTCCTCGTAGCCCTTTTTTCCTTTCTCTTTCTCTTTCTCCGGTCTCCCTAAACGCCGACGGGGTCCCTTTAATCCGGGGCCTAACGGCCTCGGCGAGCGGATCCAGGGGGGGGACGGAGGGGCAACAGAACGGACAGCGTTACGCAGACGACACTCGCGAATTATGCAATTTAGTGACGTATTAATTTGACAACAGCCGTACAAGCGGCGTACGTGCGCACCCGCGCTTTCGACGATCCTGCCGGACACTGATCAGCGATCGCTGATGCCCCTCGTTTCTTGCCTGGTCTTGCCCCGAAACTCGGCGCGTACGATCGTCCCTTCCTTCGCGAATGGAGGGGCATTCGACTGCAGGGATGTAGCGGCTAGCGGCACACGGCGTGGAAGGCGAGCGGGCCCCTCCCGCGAGAATGTCGCCGCGTCGAAAACGAGACGGGAAAATCGATGGACGGTGTGACTGTACGGGGAAACGGGGATGATATTGTCGCCGGCGAAAAGTCACATTTTTTTATTTCGATTAAATTACCGATCTTGTTTTATCGCGGAATATCGCTCCGCTACGGCGTATCTTTCGCAGGAAATATGGGGTTCCGTGCAAATAATGTTATGTTATGTTCATATTTTTTAGACGATATTAGTTTCTCGAGAGATGGGAATGCCTCAATGTTTCAACGCCAATTGTTTTATGTCACAAAAATACACACATACTGGATAATTCAGATGCAATAGAATGTACAATTCTATTGGACACTTGTACAGTTAGTAGTTACATAAAAAGAAGTAAGACGCGCTATCAAGTGCTCACACCTTCCAACAACGTCAAATTTAGCGGAAACTTATGGCCTAGTATTCAAAATTAATCAGTTTTTTATTTTACTGTACATGCGATATAAGTATGTCAAAAATATACATTTAAAAAACGTTAACACCCTACTAAGTTTGTTAAAATGGCCTGTTTTTTTATGACGCGCGCAAAATGTTGCTGTCAATTTACTTATGTGGTATTTTCTATATTTTTCTCACTTTCTCACATGATCCCTGCGAGGGAAATGTGTAGAAATGTGAGAAAGTAACTCTAAAGGAGAAACGTAGTTCAAAGAGAACAGCCATTCCAAAGTAGAAAGGTCTAATGTATTGATTATACTTGTTTGTCAACTAGCAATGTTAAATAACAAAAATATGTACAAAAATACGTGACGATGACGATAAGAACTGTCGTACGCTTTCCTCTTACAAACGGCTGTCTAAGTAGATCCCTCTTTCCTGCGCTTTCCCGGGAATCCGGGTAATCTTGTTACATACCTGAGTCACAAGTCGAGCCAAGAAGAAGGGAGGCCCGGTGCATTCTTCGTAACGTATTTATTTGAACCCTACGGGGCAAGTATACAAAAGGATCGCATCCTATGTAGACCTTAGGGGAGGCATACGGTTTCCCTTCTTGCCCTTCGGCCGCCTCCCCCTACTTTTTCCTCTAATCCCCCCCCCCTTGGTCGAGCCAAGTCATCCCCCTTTTCCTTCCTATTCCTCCCTGCCACTGTTTTTAGAGCGTTGTAAGAAAGTTATACAACGAAATGTCGTTAGGGTATGTGTGCATTGCGATCGGCGGACGAGGGTTGTATCATATATCAATGATCACGAAGATCTCGGGCCGATCCACCCGCGGACGTTCGTAGATCTGCATCGCCGAGTACGTGATGGCCTTTACCTCGCTGCCTTGCGTGTGCTTGCCAATCACGAACTCCTCGCCGTACGCGGTTGCCTTGATTTTAAACCCTTGCCGGTCAAATTCGGTAATCTTGACTTTCTGGTGACAGACAGACAAGTGCGGAGATTTTAACCTTTGGCTTTGGCTTTGAATGTGGACGCGGTAAGTTTCAAGATGTTCGCGCGATTCGAGCAAAAGCTACTACTTGACCATGTTTTCAAATTCACGAAAAAATTATTGTCATAATTACACGAAATTAGTCCTAATCCTATTATATATTACTGCTTAATAAATTTACATTCTAATATGTATTACTTATAAATCCAAGCGTGAGAGTAAAATATTAAAGAAGTAATGATTTTTAATAAGCAACAGAAGCTCATTATTTTGTGTAAAATATTCACATGGATCATATAATTATATATTCCATAACGTTATCAAGTTATGGACATTATTGCTGTAACGATAAATTGTCGACATACGTCTACTCCAATAATTTACAACCAAGAACCGAGAGATTATACCTTAGCGACTATGTACGGCTCGGCGCTGAACATGAAGAGGAGCTCGTCGAGAAAGTGGAAGAGCAGACTCTCCATGTCGTCACCGTCGGCCTCGATGTGATGCACCTGCGTCATCTCCACGCGCTCCAGATCCGTCATGTAGTTGAACATGGCTATCGCGCATTGCTCGAAAGCCTCGTCCAGGGTGTCGCCCCATGCATGCAATCTAAAGACAAAATCGGTAATTCGATGATCGTCGAGCCGATCTCCGTCGCAAGGTAACATTTTACGAGATATTGCTTTTCAACGTCCATCGATCCATCCGTACGCGATTTCTCGCGGCGCTCTTTTAGGTTAGCCGGCGAAGTAACCTGCAAAACGAGCCGGTCTGAACGCTGCAACTGAATGTAAATACTTACTGTACATCCGCGGTATGATCCAGATCTGTAACAGAAAACGTGGATTTAGCCGTCAACATTTCCAGGGACCGAGGCTGCGGAAGAGATTCAGCGTCGTACGCCGGAAGAAATTTTGCGTCAGCCGCGCGAAGCGAGGAGGTTAGGATCCGTCGCGCGAGGACGCGCCGAAGCGTACGTTGCGTCAGAGAAGAAATACTTTCCGAGAGGAAAGCGAACGAAACGATGACGCCAAGGAAAAGAACAATCGATACTCACACTCGTATTTGACGGGCGGTATCTCGAGACTCTCGTTCGCCGAGCTGGCCGAGCTGTCCATGTCCGTAGTCGCGCACAGCTGATTCTCCCACGTAACACGTAACCGTGGCGATCAGCTGATTCACTGACGGGGCCCGCCGCCCGCCCCGCCCGTCGCCCGCCACCCGTCAGAACGAGGACGCGCGAGCAACGGCGACGTAGTTCGCGTAAGTGAGTTCACACCGGTCAGGTGACGCCACTTACCGCTTCGCGAATGGAGTAAACACGTGGCTCGAATCGGTGTTCGTCAGCGGACGGATTAAAGAGCGGCCGACGCGGAAATTCGGAACCGGTAGGTTCCGGATTTGATCCTACCATGTATTTGTCATTTATAAAAAAGATTGATTGGAGAATTGAAGATTGTAAATTTCTCATTTCGGGAACACATACATTATTATAAAAATTCGCGGACGTATCGACCGATGAAAATTGAGATAGATAATATCAATCTAGCAAACAAGAAATTAATATGTTAACCACCGGAGCAAAACAAAATACCGTACAGTCAATAACGTGACTGCAATCACCGTTACTGTGTTTAAAACTATGATTGACACATTTTTATGATTATTACTGGGGCCCGGAAAAAAGTATATTAATATTACCAACTATTGATATAAAATGATTTCCGCTTTCTTGAAACAGGGGACAGCATCGTCCAACACTGTCACGGTAATGACAGCATTGACAGTCAGCGTTAACTAGTGCTAACCTCCTTCTTTTTTTAACATATGCTGTTACCATCGACATGAGAAACCTATTTATATTATATCGTATTCGCGTAAAATGTAAATATTGAACACACGACGTATTACCGAAGCATCCGCGATAACTGTTTACACTGCCAATCATGAATACTTCTACAAATCTCAAGAAACACAGCGTTCACTGTCAGCCAGGTTAGTTCTGCCCATCTTATTGCAAGTTACAAACTGCGTGTCATTTTACATTTAAATAATTAGAAGTAAATTGTGTTAAAATTTACAACACAATTTTTCAAAATATTTTGATCGCATATCATAGCGCTATACAGATGCAACTTTTATATCTCAATTAATAACTTTTTATCTTTCAAGATGTTCATATGATGGGTTGTGTCGAACGAACGCAAGGAGATGGTATGGAGAATGCGACGGACAAGATCGAGATTAAGCAGAGCCGAAGTCGTCTGGGGGACACCCTTATTTACCATCCCACAAACCTGAAGCAATTAGGATCGACAGCTCCGGTCACTCCTATTGGTACAATAGTAAACCTCGTGCCAAAATATAATAGTAATGCGAAGCAAGGGAAGCGTATCTTACACTCCTTGAAATCAAAAGAACCAAAATTTGTACCGTACGAACCTTATAAGGCAGCTGTTAATCCGATAGTGCCGTTTGAAAAAAAGAACAAAAAATTGTCTAGGAAGTCTGGCATAAATGCCACAGCTGCGAAAATTGCTGCGATAAAGATCCAAGACAGCGACACAAGGCTGAAAGAGGGCAAAGAAAAAACATCAGAAGACGGGTGGAACGGTGAAAAAGAGGCATACGAGATGGAGATCCGCAAGTTGAAAGAAGAGAACAATCAGCTTGAGACTCAGTTGAAGTTTCAAGCACAGGTAAAACATTTGTATATATAGTAACAATAAAATTTATTGTAGTATTTAATTTATCCTACAAAAAATATATATATATATACGTACACAGGTCAATGGAGAATTAAAAAATTTGTTGGTTGCTGCGGTGGGAGAGGATCTGGAAACAAGAGTTCATCTATTAACCGAGGACAAATTGCAACTTGCGAGAGCCCTCCTGAATTCAGCCCAACATTTGTCTACGCATCAAGAACAAACAGAATGGCTGGCAGGCCAATGTGAAGTTTGGAGAAGTAAATTTCTAGCTAGTAGGTAATTGACAATCATTTCCGAGACGCTCGGAATTTTTGCAATTTTTGTTTTTGGTTTGCATCAGATCTATTACATTTTTTTTTGGTTAAGCATTTAATAAAAAAGAAATAGTAATAATACCACTTTAATTTGTTCCCAAACGATGCTTATTGTTACAGCTTAATGGTGGAGGATTTGGCAAGATGGAAAGCCGCACTCTGCCAGAGAACGACAGAACTGCAGGAAAGTATAAAACGGCTTCTAGAAGAACATAACAATATTCGTGATACGTCGCTCAAAACATACAGGTATATTTTGCAGGCAGTATACATTGTGCTTATATAATTTTGTCAAACTGACGAGAGCAATCTTTACTTTTCCAGAATGCTCACGATCCTACGAGAGAAATTCGATTCCATAGGAACAACATCCGGGAAGAAACACGAATTGGCTAGCACCAATATCGTCGATCTCGCGCAAGGATGTTGCCAACTTGCGGAAATTCTAAGAGTCAGTCTCCTGAGTGGGATCCCGGATTCAGAATTACGGAAAGAGCTGAATATAACCGGTTTAGATATGAAAACGCTCGCGGAGCACAACGCGGAGAAAGTAGGACTGTTTGATCTTTAAATTCCTTATGACAAGACGTAATATTTTGTCGTAACTAATTGATATCTAAATTGCAGTTGCTAATGAATCAAAAATTACCCATGACCGGGAGAGAGGATGTTGCCTGTACCGCAGTAATGGGGGCGGCAGTTGCGGTCGGCGGACAGATGTTTCTTCCGCGATGCGACGCGAAGAATATGGCATGTTGCCCACATTGCAGCGGCGAGATTAAACAGATTTGAAAATAATTCCACTTTTGTATGTCTTCCATACAATACCCTTTTTTATACTAAATATATATCGAATATTTTTTCAAATCTGGTGTTAAAAAAGTGTAACTGTATCTTTTTTCTTTGTAGGTAATGAAACAATTATGTTCTTTAGACAATGTTTGCATAGACCTGTACATTAATTTAACGATCAGTCTGTTTTTATCCATCTGTAGGCTAGAACTGAATCTTGTAATTGTTTCACTATTATTTACTTCCTAATTAATTTTGTATATTTATAAACACATTTTCTGTTTACATAAATTATGTAATTTACTTAAAATATAACAATAGTATTTGTCACTTTTTTCTTAGTATCGATTAGATAATATTAAAAGTTGTTTGTAATGTTAATAATTATGATGCGATGAAGTATCGCTAAAATTAAGAATTTATATTCTTATGAGCCAAGCATTCATATAGTTTTTCCATAGGATCTGTAAGATTGACATTTGACAGAGAACCCAACCGAGTATATTCAGTTTAGGCAGAGAGAAACCTGAGAGAGGCCATCCCGGCCTTTTTCGTGAGACAGAACGCAGAACGTAGAATACAGCCAGTTAAACCTGTGAAAGTTAACGAAAGATTCGGCATACGTTGTCTTTTATTGTTCGTTGAAAGTTTTCGGTATTTTTGAATCGGCCGCGGCCGCGCGCGTAGGCCGTGACGTCATGCGCCGCTCCGCGCCGCCGGCGCAGCGGATCGATACGGTGACAGTGACGTAGTAGGCAGTGTAGGCACCTGCGCAGTCCGTACTAGCGGCGCGACCGTTGAACGTTGAACTCGAAAGCTCCGTACCTCGAAGATCGGCGCGTTTTCGACGTTGTTTCTGGCGATGAGCGGACTTGTCACTTGTTTCCGTCAACGCTCGGAGTAGTGTTACCTGCGTGAGTGACTCAGTTATCATTCTTCCGAGGAATCTCGCACCGGTAGGAAGTGTTTGTGCTCCGCGCGCGCTCGTCACCGACGTCACCGTGCTTCGTGCTGTTTTCGGAACGCGCTCGTTTCGGTGATTGGCATTCCTGCTTCCTCGTTTCGCGGGCCGCGGGAATACGCGCTACGCGATCGAGTACCGCGCGCCGTGTGCCGTGTGTGCCATGTGCCGTGTGTGTAAAACAATTTACGAGTGTATGAGGTGTTTATCGGAATGAACGTGTCGCGCGACGCGCTCACTCGAGACGTCGAGGCGGAGGTATGTATGAACGACTTGCTTTGCAGTTTCGCGCTGTGATATTCGCGAGTGCTAGTCGCTCCTCCCGCCATGTCTGGATTCGCGAAGAACGAACGCTGACGTGCCGGACGTGTCGTGTGATTTAGCTCCGATTCTCTCCGTAGGGAAAAAGGGCTGAGTGATATTGATCGTGTCAAGTGATTCCGGTGATTCGATCGGTGATAACGGAACGCCGCGGCGCCGCGATACATCGCCCGTTCGTGAATAGCTTCACAATCTCGGATTCTCGTATATCTCGCGTCGCGTAAGATTAGCGGCCGGCTGTCACGATTCTTCGTTGTGCATATTAATAAAATGTAGTTATACTTTCGCGAGATTTACGAGTTTGATACCGTACGTACTGTGCATGAGTGCGATATTTAATTTCAACGGCGTATCACTGATTATAACGAAGTGCGTGTTTTTATTAATCGTCCGCTCGACTTGCGTAGTATCGCCAGTAACGCGGTGATGAACGCGGAACGACGCGGAGCACGCGGCGTCGCGACTCCTTCAAATTTGCATGAAAAATTCATGTTACCCGATTTTATATTACAGAGTAAAGTACTTCCTTCCTACGGGTACGACTTTGGCGAGGTGGGAAGGCTCAGTACCCAGTACGAGGATTTTACCCAAGCAAAACTCTTGTTCTGCTTGGATAAAAATTCAAAGACGGGGAAGCTAACGTACCCTCGTTCGCCGATTTAATTGAATGAACGAACCGCAGCCGGTTCGTCGCGCGTTTGCATCGGGAGTGCCGCTCATAAGTAATCGGATTAAAGGACTTTTTTAAACGGGAGTGCCGTACAATATCGCGCGAGAAAGACTTTTAACAGAACGTAGTCCGCGCGCGCGTGTAATTTATCATCCGCGAGTGTTTCTCGCGAGTGTCCTGTGCGGTGAGACGAGGAAGCCTAAGTGTCCTGAGAGGAGGAGGAGGCCTGGGAGAGGCATCGGGCACCGGCGGAGCAACCTTGGGGTGAGTATCATCTCTTATATCTGCGTAAAATTAATAGTTCTTTTTTATTTATTTGACGTGTTTTATCTCGATAAATTAAAAATAATTAGAGAAACAGGTTATCTAAAATTTTACTCTTGTAAAGATCGTTTTCGGTGAACACAAATACGTGTGTTGCTAAATATTTTATTAAAAGACAAATTAGTTGCGCGTAAAAATTATATCTTGAAATGTTGATCATTTTGAACGCTTCTTTTGAATCTTATGTTTGTATGTTACAGTATCACCGTAGCTACGTGGCTGAACAACTCCGCCCGTTGCACATCGGCGTGGTGAGTCAGAATTTTTTTTTTATGAGGTAACAAATCTACGATTAGTCAGATATAGAGCCATTGTATCTCGGAACATATCGACGTACGACAATAACGTACTCTAAAAATATTACATCTCGTAGATTTGTTGTCTTAAAATGGATGGGCTAAAACTAATTACGGAAAAATATTTAATCTTGGTGTCAGTTCTTTATTGATTTATTGTGCACGTGTGCTTGAGGAAATACTCGCACACTTTGCACGCACGGAGCTCGCGAAGAGCTCATTATCGTTCATCAAACTATGTTG